TTGGTGTAATGATAGGACTAGACCCATGTGTAGATGTTTGAAAGGCTAATTGGTAGGTTGATGGATTAGCTAGTTATGGAACAAGTTAGTAAGAGGCTTATGTAATTCTATTAATCGTGGGGTAGTAAGTAGGATAAGTCGATGGTGAATATAAAGCATAACTTTTGAACTGTTGCCCCTCAAAATTCACAGTTTAAGATTTAACTTTTTTCTGTTTAAGCATCTCTTATGTTTTTATACTAGTGATCTCTTATTCCTTAAGCTTGCCACTCTTAATTATTTTTTCAATAATTTTTCTTAAAATCACTAAGTTAGTGAAAATTTTTATTGCATTTCCTATCATCTTTTCACAGTAAAGTTTTTTCAGAGTGTTCATAAATAACATTGTAATTTTTTTTCAATCAATGACGGTTAAACTTGGGTAACTATGTCCTTTTATCTTTGGGTATATTTATTGAATGACTCAATTGTTTTCTTCTTCATGATCTAGAGCTAAATCTATGATGTGCCAATACTGAGAATAAAAATCATTGCCAATTCTTTTTATGTAGTAATATAAGCCATATCTAGTTGGATGTACCATTTAGCAGCAAAACCAATAAAACTATCTTAGAATACATATATCAATAGCTTTTCATCAGTAGTATATAAGTAGCTATATTTCGATAGTACATAATGACATGAGTCACTGGACACTTAGTACCATCATATTTTTTAAACTCTGAAACTTTAAACTTTGGTAAGATAACTACGTCACCAACCAAACAAAGTTTATCTGCATTCATAGAGCTATAAAAATTAATTTCTTCTACGACACGTAACCTTTCTTCTGACAAGTTCATATTTTGATTAACTTTTGAGTCCTTTAGAGACTCAACCACCTTCAGCTTCAATTTTTTCTCTTATTCGATATTATCTAAGTTAGAGACTTGGATTGGCTTTATTACCTTTTTAGTAAAGACAAGGTTCACAAAACTTTAGTAATTCTTTTAATTTGATGTAAATAACATTATTAAATAAATATACCCTGCAAAGAATGTAAACTACTACGATTGAATACCCTGCATAGATTGGGCCTGTTATGGGCTATAATTAAGAGGATCAACAACATATTGTAATGGATGATCTTATAGGCTGGCATATTTTTCTATGACCTTTTCTTTGTTCAAATTGTTTAGAGCTTCTAAAATTTTACTCAACTTTTCGTCTAATTTTTCTTAGGCTTTTTCTATTTTTTTTAGACGATTTGTATTTTTTGGTTCTATTTGTTTGGCTCAAGCTCTAGTATTATATTAATGACGAGTTGTTTGAGTAAGATTCTTGGACGGTTGAGTTATCCCTGAACTGTATGTACCATAATTAGCATGCTCATAATATTAAGTGTTTAAAAATTTTTAAAACCCAACTTGTTTAAGGATCCTATATGTATGAATGAATAAATGAATGAATGAATGCATTGAATGCTTGACATAAAAAATTATAATGCATAAACACATGAATGTATGTACAATAATGTATGAATGGATAAATGAATGCATGTGCTAATGTTTATCATATTATAATGCACGGATGAATGCATATGTTAATGATGCTGTATTAAAATATAACATACAACAACTTAACAATAAATAAAATTTCATATAAAATTGATACAAATAAAATTCATAAAAGTCCACTCATATGTCCTAAGTAGGGTTATACTATAATAATGGATAGACATGGCTTTAACCTAAGGTTGGCTTATTATATTTTACTACATGTGGCTTGGGTTAACTTTAAAGGTTTCCAAATTATTACTTATATCATTATCCATCACAGACTAGTAAGCACTTCAATATTCGCCTATTGTAGGTTACAAGTGAAAATGATTTAATTTAAATGAGAGTATTTTGTTAGCTCAAACGAAGACATAAAATCTCACGATAGTGTAGGTACTTTATTTTTTCTTAAGAGATGAAACTCAGGTGTAGAGCTCCTATTATGCATGTGCAAATGAATTACAGATATATAAAATGGATGAATAAATAAATAAAAAAATACAAATAAGGAAAAAAATTCTTAAATTTATTAGATTAGGCTTGGACAATAAGAAATCATCTATTGACCTGGCTCTCGATCTCTTCCCCAGTGAAGTCACAAAACTATTATAACGTATAGATTTTGTAGACCTATTGGTAAAAAAAAGAGTCACCACTAATCTTTTTTGTATATGTGCGATTGGTTATATGATCAAATCTGTTCCACTTAATAAAAAAATTTAATATTGACTTAGCTGTTTTTAAATGGTAGATTTTAATCCACGAAATAATATCTAAGTTCAAGAGTATGGTTACATGTAAAAAAAGTTTTAACACCCTTATAACCCCTATTAAAAGGTGGTACCAATTTAATTTCATATTATTCAAGCTCTGAAATATTTTTGAATTTTTACTAAGTAAATTTAATTATAGAAAATTGATCTTAAAATTACTCCAATCATTTGGTTGTGATTTAAGACATTTTTTTCACTTCAAAAGTATTTAAGAAGACTATTTGTTATGTTTTGAAAATGCTTTATCATTAGATTTATTTAATTTTTATAAAAAAAATTTATTTATGATAATTGACATTTTTGTGATAATTTTGATTTTGAAAATCTTTTCTAAATTCTTCAATATATTGATAAAATTTAGAAATAATTTTTCACATAGAAATTTACATAAAGATTGTTATTTATAACGCTTTTAGTAATTCCATCATTAGAGATTCAAAGTTTAACTTTTTTAAAAAACTCTTTATTTTCATAAATATCTTTCAATATGTTGGTGAGATTTTTTATGAGAAATTATCCTCCAATATATTGGTAGGATTTTATGAAAATTATTTCTTTTCTAAAAATTGATTTTCTTTAAAAATATAATATTTTTCAATATGTTGGTAAAACTTATCTTAAAAATCAAATTACCTTCTAATATGTTAGTAAGATTTTATTAAAAACTATATTTTTCTCTTGAAATTTTTTTTTTATAAAAAATTAATAAAATTTTTCAATATGTTAATAAAATTTTATTTTAAAAATCAAATTGCCTTGCAATATGTTGGTAAAGCTTTTTGTTTTATTAAAATAATTTATTAAAAATTTGAATATTCCAATATGTTAGTAAGATTTTTTTATTTAAACATTTATTTTAAGAAAATTTAAACCCTTCACTATTTTGGTAAGTTTTTATTTTATTTTATTTAAAACAAAATTTTCTCTTTTTTCCTTTTAAAAAAAAATATTACAAACAAATAAACACATAAATAATCAAATAAAATAAAAATAAACAAACAAATAAATAAATAGACAATTATGATAAAATACAAAGATAACTAGAACTTATGAAAAAGACAATTTAAAAGTAAATACTAAAGATTAAGCCACAATTAATTCCAAAGCACGTGGGCTTTTGTAATTGTTCTTACCCACTTCAATTTATTGGTTATTGGAACCGATTACAAATTTAGGCTTTTAAATTGGGTCCTTAAACTGGGTCAGTTCCCTTTTACTTTTTCTGTTTCTTCACCCCTTGTCTTATTTCTTGTTTTTTCGAAACCCTAAAATTTGATGAATACCTTCATTTTGTTTTTCTTTTCAACTACTTTTTATAACACATAACTTTCAAAAGAAAATCGTAATTATTTAAACCCAAAACACTATAAAAGACTATAAAAAAATTCTTAATTTTTTTAACTTTTTCTTTTTTAATTTTTTTGATTGATTCTTGATTATTTTTAACTTATCTTAATGAGTTCTTTTATAGACCTCTAATCCTAATTATAATAAGAAAATAAGTTTTCTTAATTTAAATTTCCTAATCAACTTCAACCTTAAATTTTTAATTCAAATTCATCTCTCAAATTAATTCTTTTTCACAATCATTTTTAATTAAAACACTTTCAATTCATCAATTTAATTACACTTTTTTATATTTCAATAAAATAATTATTTTTTTAAAAATAATAATTTTAAACTAAATAAAAAATAAAAATTTAATTTTAAAATATAAATTGATCCTAAACTAAATAAGATGATTACAATGGACTTATGAAAGCTAAGAGTAGCCGGAAGCCAAGACCGACATGAGCTAGAGACAGTCATCGTCCTTGTCTTTAGGTCTTGGCCTAAATGCTGACATTTCTCTAATCTCTAATAAAGTGGGTTGGCTTCCCCCTAATATCTACTCACCCAATGAGCAAAACGACGATGCACCAAACCATCAATCTAGAGCCATCAAAGTTGTCCGGCTCAGACCCCATCAGAGTGAAAGGCTCATTTCCCTAATGTGGTCCCCTGAAGGCCTACCCACCATCATAAAATTAAATAATTCATCGAGTAAAATATATTTTATCATCTCAACAGTGCGCCACCACTTGTGACTTGACACAACCCACTAAGTAAAAAAAAAAAAAAAGGAAACCAGAAAGAAAAAGGCAAAACCAAAGGAGACCCCCGAAGACGAAAACACTACCGCCAAACAAGTAACAGCCACGTGACAACCTAGCCAGCCTGATCCAGAATCCCTCCAAAGATATGACGTGGAAAACTCCCATTAGCATTTTCTCTAAGCCATTGTACGGATGAAAGCAGACGTGTTCCTGATCTTGTACGGACCACGCTTAGAAATCTTTTAATTGTGTTCGGTGAGTGTCCAGTTGTTGCATACAACCGACAGGAATGTTCTGTGTTTTTCACCTTACAACCTGGCTTTGCTGCTTTCGGTGGATACCGGACGTGGAGGTTGTCAGTAATATGACAGGTGTCATGGATTCACGCAATAAGCATACAATTTTGGTGCATCCACTTAAATTTCTCTTCGCTGTGGAATCACATGTTTTGGCATTTATTCTTTTTCTTTTTTCGGGAGGTGCCTATTTTTTTTCCTTCAATAGTTCAATTTTACCAAAAGAAGAAAGAGACTTTGTCTATTATATCTTATTTAATTTTTGTTTTATTTCTATTTACTATTAAAATACTTTCAGTCTAGGGTTATAGGAGCTTGAGGGAGTGAATAGGAACAACTTGGTTAAGTCATTTCTCATCTACAAAATCCAAGAGAAATTTCAAAAAATTCCCAGTAAAATCTTGTTTTTCTCTTCAAATCAACTTGAGCATTAACATGCCAAGAAAGTTCTTTTTCTGGCTTCTTTTTTAGTTGTATGTTTTTCCTAATTTGAGTAGATTTTTCAGTTATTCCCTTTCTATTTTTGGAAACCTTTTTCTCATCTGGGTCTTTGGTTGTTGTTGACCATCAAAATCAGTTTCAGTTCAGACAAACATTTATTTCCTAGGACTCAACGAGTTTACCCTTTTCTGGGTTTTTCTTCTAGAATTCATTTTTTCCTTTAGTTATAGGAGAACTACTGTTGAGACTATGGTGAGAGGGAAAATTCAGATGAAGAGAATAGAAAATGCAACAAGCAGGCAAGTAACGTTTTCAAAGCGAAGGAATGGGTTGCTTAAAAAGGCCTTTGAGTTATCAGTTCTCTGCGATGCTGAAATTGCACTCATCATCTTCTCTCCTAGAGGAAATCTATATGAGTTTTCTAGTTGTAGGTGCGTTTTCTATCTCATCTTTTCAACTTTCATCTTCATAATCACGGAGACTAATAAAAAAATAAACTTAATCATGGAGACTAATAAAAGTAAATAAACTAACTACTTCATACTCATGGCAAGTCAGCTATATACTGGAAATACAATCTGATCATTTATGTAGTTCATTTATGTTAACTAAATCTGAGAAGATATGAATAAATTTGGGTGATTAAACTGGGTTGTTACTTAATTATATAGAGGCCACGCTCACCTACCATTTTCCTAGGCAAGTACTAAGAATACATTGATGATCTCAGGCTTTATCTGACAGAAGGGTCTAGTCTCCGATGTCTTTCTGTCTTCTTTATTTTTCTTCAGGAGCAAATCTAAACAGGTGATTTTGTTCTGCTGGATTTCCTTGTTTGTTGTTGTTCCAAATGATCTTGCTGAAATCTGTTCTCTCTTCAACCAGCAAGATCCTGAGAAAGAACAAGAAAGAGAGATCATTTTAGGGTTAATGTTTTGGGGTAAAATATACTTAGATTGGTCGCTGAATATTAGGTACTGTTTAACCTGACCCTAGCTAGCCAGCTTTGAAACAGTTTTTGAGATTAATGATAATGAGCATGAATCAACAATGTGTATATGCTCATTTTTTAAGAATATTTCTAGTTTGATTCTGTCAATAACTTCTTGGTCTATTATCAACATTTTCCATATGAACTAAACAGGTCATAAAATTTCAAGTTATTTAATTTGAACCCAAAAAAAAAAAAGTTGGAACCTGTTGACTGTTTAAAAGGTGCCTCTGGGCAAGAGCCGAGTTTGTACTTGGCATTTGTTGTTTATATGGTTTTTTCTTTTTTTTTAACCATACATATAAATTGGATTACACTGGAGAAATAATTTGCATTTTTCAAGGTATACCACTGCTGACATGTTTTTAGTGTTAGTGTTAGCGTCAATTCCACATGATTAATTAAAACAAAGAATTATACTTAGATTATTACTCATCCAAAAATTACTCCTCTATTAAGACTGATAATTACATAATTACCAGGATCCCTAGCCAGAGAACATCTGATAATCTCAAGGGGCATATGTCTTTTAAGACTGATCTTGCACATGGCTTCCTAGAGATATTCAAACATCACAAAAAGATTAAAATCTTGTTGAAGCCTTAATGGTGATATGGTTCTGGCTAGCATTCACCTTTTTACATGAAATCATTTCTCTTTAGAGCTTGAAACTTGTCTTAATAGCTAGCTCTTCTACTGTTGATTGTTGCTTAGACTCAACTTCGAGTATTAATTGGATGTAGGTCCATGTAAAACAGGTATATATAAATTTAGTGCCTAATTTCTAAGTTATTTTCATGTACTGGTAAAGAGCTAAGTCTATATCCCATACCCATTTTTAAGTGTACAAGGCGTATATGATACAAGTACATTAAGAAAAATGAAGAGTTTGATTAAGATGGTAGCTTCGAAGTTCCTTCAAAGTTAAAAAAATGGTCCTTTTATAAGAATTGATCCTCAATCAAGATTGGCTGAAATAGCAAAAGCATTCAAGATGCTAAGACTCTTTTTCCTCTGGTTGTTAAATATCTTAAACCCTTTCATTCATCCTAGAGAAATCTTACTCGTGTTGGAACTGTTAAAATGAGAGTGATGTTAACTAAATTAAATGAGTTATCGACGCTTCAAAATCGAGTTAGGTTGAGACTAGCTGATATTTAGTCGAGTTACAAACTATAGACAGCAGAGAAACTTGTTTCATGCACTTTTTTTTTCAAGATATTTTGTGCGTAATAAAGTTGTGGAAAGGAAAATATATAAGAGCTCAGTAGTTACAATGCATGAAACATGTGATAGGAAGCTCTCCATCCACAATCTTGGCTGACTTTAGCAACTTAAAATCACCATGTTATTTTATAATTTAATGTATTATTATTCCACACATATGTTAGAGTTGCTTATTCGATCCATATGCAAATTAACAAGAATGGGAACTTGGTTCCATCATCCATTTCTATACATTTCTGTGGACTTCAAACAATTTTGTAAGCAATTGGAAGGAAGATCTTTTTGGTTCCATTCAGAAAGCTTCAAACTAACATGTCCACATTCTTTAATTGTTAACATTTATAAACAATGGGAAAAGCATTAAAGGTAGATTAGTTGATTTCTAATATTGTGTAGGCATAAATTCTATATGGACAAGTTTGAAAATTTAAATCTCCAAGTTCTTCACCTTTCAACATATTTCAAGTCATTTTAAACAGTGAGAAAAGTGCCTTTGTGGTTTTCGGTTATTAAAATAGGAAAATGGAAGCCTTTTGTGATAAAACATTATCACATATTGTATGGCCATTGATTTATTTTAAAGTGATTAATTAGTTTAGAAGAAAATTTCTTTTCTATTTTGAAGTCAAAATGTAAAATTTTCTTCATATTTGTACCTAGCCTTTTTAATATATATATATATATATATATATATATATATATATTGCCCTTAACTGGTGATTTGGAGAATTGGAGTTCAAATCCTAAACAATATTAATTGTTGTGTTGTCTGAACAAATATTATAAAAGTGTACATATGTAAAAGCCACCATCTGGCCTGGATTAATCTTGGATTTCTTTTCTGTTGTTAATTTCAGAGTGGTTCATAAAACTGGTTTGTTATTCTCATGCTTTGAAATTATGGTAATTGTTATAGCTGAAACCTAGCTTAGACCATGTATTATTACCTCTACTGAAGCCTCCTTAGACCCTGATAATTTTCCTTTTGTATAAACAGAGAGACAAGGTTCCCAAATGAAGGGAAAAGCTAATTTTCTGATTTTTCCATGAATGAGATCTTGTACCTCATGATAAAGAAATAAATTTATAAATCTACCACACAAAAGTTTGCCAAAAAAATAAAAAAGGAATGCAGGCCTTACTTTTTGTGTTCTATATAATATAGATTAAGGCCAAAGCATTGATTTAGCTCATATATTAGTTTATTCACTACAACATCTGCCATACGGTGCTCAACCCCCACCCTCCCAAAGAAAGAGAGACAGTCAACTTGGTTGGCACCAAGTCTGAGGTATAGCCACAAACTCCTTTGTGCTGAGCGAAAAATAAGAAAGAAAAATCCAGGAAGATGTGGTCCAAAAGGAATACTTTCAAAAAGAGAGGATCCTTGCTGGAAAGACTGTTTCGAAGAGAATGCAGTGCTTTAGTCCAGGCATGCACTAGGCATGCATCAGACAATCTAATTTTTCCTTTCTAAATCCAAAGCATTTAGCCCTTTGTTACTGTTGTTGTTGTTGTTTTCAAAATACTCAGATACTAGCGGCAACATAATTAATTTCTAAGCAGCATATTGACTCTGCATGCACGCTAATCTCAATATCATTTCTGAGTTTGAAAACACTTTTTTTTGGTTCAAAATTACTGTAATTGACATGATTCTAGGAAGAAATGTGATGAACGTCAATCTTTGAAAATAGAGGTTTTTTGGATTTCTAAGAATTTCGTACCATGAATTCTGCCTCGCATTTTTTCATCTTCCATCTTTAAAGAGATAAGTACTTTGATAGGCTACATTTCTCATTCATACTTTTGAGCTCTTGAAATTTCGATCTTATCAATTGAGGTCACTTAGGGAAAGCTGCTTGGTTTGAAACTGAACCAAAGCATCGTCTGTTAGAAGTCACAGGTCCATAGAAATTGCAATCTAATTCAGCGAGATTTGTCCATGAATGTCTTAAGTAGCTAGGATGCAGTTTCAGGGATGGTTTAGTGCCTTTATCTTTTTTTGCTGGGCTATGAACAGTGTTATGTAGGACCGTTTTTGCCTTCACATGTCTTGGCTGCTTTGTAATAGCTTTTCCTGAAACAGTACTAACTTTTTTTTTTGCCTTCCAAATTTAAGGGATAATTATCATTTTATGGTGCTACTTAAGTACTAATGGAAATTAGACATGCCCTCATTCTTGATAATTGTCGTATGTTTTGAGATGTTTCAGCATGAACAAAACCATAGAACGGTATCAGAAGAGAGAGAAGGATCTTGGAATCATCAGCGAAGTTTTAGAGGAAAGTATGCAGGTAGCTCTAGCCATCCTTTTGGATTGAATGTTCTAAGCATCTCCACTAAATCTTAATCAATTATAGAAAGTTGGAACTTGGAAGCTCTCTTTGACAAGATAAATGAATCTGTTAATTCAACCAATAGTAGATCGCCATATTTTCTATATATTCTATTTCAGCTATTCTGGTATTTTGCATATGTGGCTTATTTACAGCTTTATTTCCTTCCTTGCTAGACTTCATTCCCCTCACCTATAGTTCTCACAGGATCGTCGGTCAAACATGTTGAATCGGTAAATCATTGTTAAAATCGATTTGATTTTGTAATTAAATCGGTTTTACAATTAAACCATTATGAATCGGCTATTTACATAATAAACCATTAAATCAGAAAATTCTTTTTTGAATCGGATTGGTTCAATACCAATTAACAAATTTAGGTAAAATATGAAAAAACTCTTCAAGTATTTAAAATAATCTAATTAAGTCATTATGCTATTATTTCATCTAAATAAGTCATTCAACTCTTATTTTCTACTATTAAAATTTTTGTATTTTTATATTAATGATATATTGACATATTTTGAAATATGTGAATAATGACATAGCAAAAAAATTTACATGTGTAAAAATAGGTAATTTTTGAAAAAAGATGATCTAACAAAAAATTTTATTAATTGTTAAGATAATTAAAAATAATTATAAAAATAATAACATATAAAATTTATAAAAAATGACATGTTAGCAAAAATGATTAATTATTTGACTATGATAGAAAATTATCAATAAAAGAAAGTGTATATATGTAAAATTAATCAAAAAAATTTACATTCATATAAAAAATATAAAAATGATTAATTTCCTTTTTACTAATTTTCATATAAATATAAATATTTTTTTTATTAATTTTATATATAGATTTTTTATTATATAAAGATTAATTATTATATATTAATAAATAATAGTTATATTTTAATAAATATAAATAATAATATTATATATAATTATTATTATTATATTTATTAAAATATAAATATTATTTCTAACTATTAAAGTATAAAATATAATTTTAATAAAATGTTAAGTAATTTAATTTCTAACAAGTAATCAATTCTTTTATAAATTTTATATTTTAAAATTTAAAATTTATGATATACCTTAAAATTTATAATTTCATAGTTGAATTATTAAACTATAACTTAAGTTAAAAGTTTGAATTTTGAATTTTTAAAATATTTATATTTTTTATTATTTTTTATTGAATTGACAATTAACCTGATTGATCTGGTGATTGAATCATTGATTTAGTGACGTGAAATCTTGAACTCTTATTTTTTATTTTCAAAACTTTTGTATCCTTATATTAATGATATATTGACATATTATGAAACATGTGAATAATGACATTGCAAAAAAAACTTACACGTGTAAAAAAAACAAATTTTAAAAAAAAGATGATCTAACAGAAAATTTTATTAATTGTTATCATAATTAAAAATAATTATAAAAATAATAATATATAAAATTAATAAAAAATGAAATGTTAATAAAAATGTAAAATTAATAAAAAAAATTTACATTCATATAAAAAATATAAAAATGATTAATTTTTTTTTACTAATTTTCATATAAATATAAATATTTTTTTTATCAATTTTATATATAAATATTTTTTATTACATAAAGATTAATTATTATATATTAATAAATAATATTTATCTTTTAATAAATATAAACAATAATAATAATTATTTATAATTATTAATTAGTTATTATTTATTATATTTATTAAAATATAAATATTGTTTCTAACTCTTAAAGTATAAAATATGATTTTAATAACATGTTAAGTAATTTCATTTCTAACAAGTAATTAATTTTTTTATGAATTTTATATTTTAAAATTTTAGTTTATGATATGCCTTAAAATTTATAATTTTGTAGTTGAATTATTAACCTGTAACTTGAGTTAAAAGTTTAAATTTTGAATTTTTAAAATTTATATTTTTTAATATTTTTTATTGAATCAACAATTAACTCGATTGAACTGGTAATTAAATTATTAATTCAGTGACCCGAAACCTTAAATTGTTTATTATTCTATCCGATTTTGATAACTATGTGACCCCTCCTATACGAGGAGTACGATATTATGAGCATGTATATAATCTTTTAAAATTAGGTACCTAAATGGCACCATGCACTGAGATAGATAATTTCATCTCATGATACATATATTCATTGAGGCTTGTCATTAGTATCTAATTTATTGAACTTGTGCATGGAGAATAATGTGAAGGAAGACGCTTACAGCATGGCAAAGAAGATCAAATTTCTCGAAGATTCTAAACGGTTAAATCCTTAGCTTGAAACTTGTATACAGTACTTGTATATATTTATTACTGAGACCTTCCTGTTCATATTTGTAGTTTTTTTTTTTTTTTTTGGAAATTTCAATTCATCTATTGAATACTATAAATACTCGTGTGATTTAACAAGTTTATGCAAATCAATCAAAATTGAAGTTTTACATTTTTAATTGACTTTTCTTTTCGTCGAATGCGTTTTTGTGAGTGCCCACCAAAATCCAACATTTTCTTCGTATGTATGTAAACTTCTATGTTTTCAATATGACAGAAAACTCTTGGGATATGGATTGGAGCCATGTTCTCTTAATGAGCTGCAACTGTTAGAAAACCAGTTGGAACGAAGCTTAAGTAGACTTAGGGCAAGAAAGGTACATCTAAATTCACAAGCATGGTCAAGTTTTTTCATGTGTGCATAAAGAAAATGTTGCTCTGATCGGTTTAAGACTTGATTTTGATGTGTTCAGAATCAGTTATTTTGGGAGCAGATGGAGAAGCTAAAGGAGGAGGTAACCATATCACAGTTTTTTTTTTTAATGTATGCTTAACATTCCATGGATGTTGATTTGGAAGAATATTTTCTGACTGCAATGTCATTTCGATTTCCTTGTTCAACATTCAGGAGAGACGCCTTAGGGAAGAAAATGCAAAGCTGCGAGAAAAGGTACATTAGCTTTCTCTCTAATGTTCCTATATCATAAGATTATGTTGAACCGATGAATCAAGATAATACCAACAATCATGAGCCAGGAAGGGGAGTTTGTCAAAAACTAGTGCATTACAAAAGCATACAAGTTGTTAGCATTAGTTTCTACAGTCTTTTTACAACATTTTGTACCATGAATGATAATCAGAATTCAACATTTTATTACATATCAGTGTGGGATGCAACCTAGACAACCATCAACAAGCAAATCCGATGACCACACCGAGCCCATGGAGGTGGAGACGGAATTATTCATAGGACCACCGGAGGGAAGTATCCAAAGAAACCATAAGACTTAATTAATTGACGATTAGTAAAGCTTCAAAACTTTGAGAAAATTCACATGAGGTATCATTTTCTTGCATTTCCACTTTCGAGTTGTGATGAAATAAATTATGAGTGTATATAGTTTTTATAAACAGAAAAGGATGGGACCATACTATAAAATTTGTGTGATTAATTGTAAGATTTTATGTGTGGAAGAGTTGTGTAATATATACCAAGAGATCCATTAACTGGAAATTAAATTGATGATAACACTTGATGAGTAGAAAAAGTTGACTTAATCAAATATTTTTTATTAGAAGTATACATATTTTCTTCTTTAATTATATGTTATTATTAATGAGAAAAATTGGATGAAATTTCTTAAGTAAAGTTTGTGAAATTCATTCGCAAAATTGATTAAATAAAAATTTCATATAAATTTTATTTTGTTATTTATACGCAGAACGGGATACCTTCTCAACAAAAGAACAAAACAAACTTATTTTATTTTATTTCTTTGGTACAAAATATTTTCTCCTAGATTTTAGAGATTACATTCATGCCAGGCCAAGAAAACTACAACTTGGCCGTCAATCCTATGTTTTTCATATGGCCACCATCTTTTTCATACTTTTAACTGCACGTTAATTAATACTACTTACTGTACTAATTAAGATATATGGCTACTTGTTCTGAAGACCAGAAATCAAAACTAACACATGCCACAAAATCCTTCTCCATAATTTAATGGCAATATGCTGATCGAATTTTATAAGTGAAATTAATAAAATTATATATATATATATATTCGTTTAAAATATATTAAAAAATAAAATATGTGATAATTTTTTAATCTTATTTTTAAAATTAAAAATTTTTAATATCAATGTATTAGGTAGAGTTAGTGGATTTCAATTATGCATTGTGATATTAGGTATAACAAAAAAGTTTGGATGCATATATGCAAAATATACATTTCAAAATGTGGAATTTATAAACTTTGACCTTTATTGGTACCAAACCATATGACCTATGATTTACGTCCTCAATATTTGACTTTTTGTGTATGTTTGGAAAAAAGTTATAATGCACATGAAAAAAGAAGAAAGTTAGCCAACCCCTATGGAGAATGAAGCGCCCCTATAGCTTCATTTCAAACTTCATCCTACTCCCTTGCATGCTCTTTTGTTAATTTCCACGTTTTGCTACCTATATCAGTCCTCACAAATATTCACTTTCATTTTCATTTTTGCCTTTTTTTAAAATTTTTTTGTGGTTAAGGAAACCTGTAATATATATGTTTTTAGCTGAACTAGTAGATAAATAAAATATTACCACGTAAATATTATATAATTAGGAAGATATCTGCATGAAGTTGCAAGTTGGAGATACAGAGGCCAGGGGCAACGTACGTCGCAACCGGCCTGGGCTGACGGCCGCTAGTCTTCTCAGTTTTAGTTTCCATTTTGAAGATCCAAATGTGAAAAATTTTGTTAATTTAAGAGTATATAAGTAATTGTTTTATCGTGTCCTGCCAAGAGTGGAGTATTTGAGTAACCAAAAGCTATTAGGGCTGTTGCATGCGAGAAAAAATGAGTCCCTCTCCCACCTCAACGTGTAATAAGATATGTTAAACAAAGCGTCAATGTTAACACAAGTCTGAACTTCAAGCAACCTCTTTCTCTTTCACTTTGTCTAATTAATTTGCCAGCTAACTCAAAAAACTGTGATGCCCAATCGCTTTCCTTTGCTATCAATTCTTAGTGTGTTCAAAGTTTTCAACTTAATTAGCTTAACATACAAGCAAAACAAAACCAAAAGCCAAGAAGGAAACAAAAGTTCCCAAAGTTTCGAAGTCTCAGTCTCCTCTTCCTCCAAGATTCTCTCTCTATTTCCTGTACTCAAAAGTTTTCGTTTTTGGTTTTGCTATAATAGTATCTTGTTTTATAGCTGGTATTTCATTATTGAATAGTTTTTTTTTTTTTCTTTATTTGGGTGTTTCTCTCCATCAAAGTTGGAGCTTAGACATTAACTATGGGAACTTTGCCTTTGGTTCCCGTTCTCCCTACAAAGCTAAGACCTTCTGTGTTTGAACAGAATGGATCTCTTTTTGTCTGTAGAAGAAGATCCAAGAAGAAGAACCAAGCTATTGTTCCTGTAATTTTTCTTTTCTTTTTTTTTTTTTTTTGCTTTTCATTACAATTTTTATGAAGGAAGATTATATTGATTTTATTCTGGATTGGATTGGATCAGGTAGCAAGGTTGTTTGGGCCAGCAATTTTCGAGGCATCAAAGCTAAAGGTTTTGTTTGTAGGAGTTGATGAGAAGAAGCACCCAGGGAAGCTGCCTAGGACTTACACTCTCACACATAGTGATATAACCTCTAAACTTACTTTAGCCATCTCACAGACCATAAACAACTCTCAGGTAATCCTTTTTATTAATTTCATAACCCATTTGATGAAATTGTTTCATTGTTTATTTGGCTGTTGTAATAGTTAATTTTTTATTAGAATTTGTACTGCTTCATTGAGAAGAAAACAGGGCAAACAGGGGATTTATATTGGGAAAGAAGTGTCAAAAATAAATAGATCTATGTAGTCACCTGAAGAATGATTTCATCAAAGAAAACCAAGAGGCATAAATACAAGGAAAATATGGAAAGATAGAGAAGTTGATATGACATTGAATCTGTTGGTAAATAGAGTTTCTATGTATTTTTCCATTTTCTTGAAGAATATGTTGGGTTATTTTGTTGCGAATGAATATGATGAATATTGACCGCAGCTATTCACAATATTTTCCACATGCAAAAACTGAAGAAAGAAGAGAAATTGGGGTTTGGTTGCAGTTGCAGGGTTGGTCAAACAAATTATACAGAGACGAAGTGGTGGCAGAATGGAAGAAAGTAAAGGGAAAGATGTCTTTGCACGTCCACTGTCACATAAGCGGAGGCCATTTCCTCTTGGATTTGTGTGCTAGACTTAGGTACTTCATCTTCTGCAAAGAACTCCCTGTGGTAATTATTCAATCATCACTTTAACAAATGATTACTAAATTTATTGATAGTTAATCTTCTAGAAATTAATAATGATATTAAAACAGGTATTGAAGGCGTTTGTCCATGGAGATGGGAATTTGCTCAAAAGCTACCCAGAATTACAGGAGTCTTTGGTTTGGGTTTATTTTCATTCAAACATTCCAGAATTCAACAGAGTTGAGTGCTGGGGTCCGCTGGAGAAAGCTGGAGCACCATTTTGTGGGGCAGGTGCGACTGGGACCCAACAAGAAGAAAAGCAAGAAAACACGGCAAGAAACTGGGACTTTCCCGAGCCCTGCCAAGAAAATTGTAACTGTTGCTTCCCACCAATGAGCTTGATCCCATGGTCACAAAAGCTTCCCTATGAAAATGGAACATGGGAACCAGCAGCAGCGGTTACCACCACAAAATCTGGAAACTATAGATTGAATGAATGATATTTAATTTAATTAATGATTGTTTATCGTTTGTCATTCATTCTTATTAATTTTACTCTGTTGATTTTGATGAAAGATGTAAATACAAAATCAATTTCTTAAAAACACTTCCTTCCCCTCTCGTAATACTCAAAAAAAAAAAATGGCGGGGTTCAAACACCTGTATCGATCTTTTTACAGGATGCAAACGTGATTACGGTTACTGTCTGGATGTGTTCAAATATGAACCATACAGCTGAATTCAGGGCCACTTATTCTGTAATTCTGTCATGCCATCAATGGTTCGTCTAGGTTTTTATCAAGTATAAAATATGACTATGCTTGGTCTAGGGTACCCATGGGTCTTGACCAGCTTAACATGTTTTAGGGCCAGATTTGCTAGACTTTCACAATCACCCTCGTTTTTGGAAACAGCAGAGCTGAGCTGGAAAATATAAGTGGAAAACCAAATATGAATTTATTTACATACAAAAGAAAACGTACTACAATAAGTTCCGAGTTCTTCAGCCACCTCTCCAACTTTGTTTAATTTACAATGGAAGGGAAGGGAGCAGCTAAGAACAATTGATAGCACCACCCGCTATAAATCAATCAAATATATTTAAAAGAAAATGAAATGGATTCAAAATCAATGGTTTGCAAGAAGCTAACAAGAAATTAGTTCTTGCACCTGCCGCAAATTTTTTTGACTAATTTGTGGATTGGAACACCCAACAAATTTGATATTTCAGGGCATGAGAATGTTCACAGCATATTTTCTTGATGAAGTCTGATAATTCAGAGCACGAGAATGCTTACAGCATATTTTCTGGATGAACTCACCGAATTGTTGTTCTTCCAAAAGATGATGCTCCTATTTCGCTATCAGTGTTCTGCATTAAAGATCATGTCCACCAATAAATGAGTTTATTTATAGACCTTTGCTTAGCAGACAATTCTATCACAACCAGAAAGAAGAGAATCTTGAAAGAACTTGTTGCGATTACGGGCAATCATTAACTGTTAGAGGCAAACCCACAGAGTGGTGCAGCAGTCACTTTTCAGTGAAAAGTGAGTATCAACAGTCCTAAATAGAAACTACCTTTTTGACCAAAAAAAGTAGTACCATCTTTCCCTCTTCTCCCCCTTAAATTATCTATACTCCCAACAAATAAATAGTAAATCTATACTCTGCAGGGAGAATCCATAAGAAGGGTATAAAGAAAACACTTAAGATTTTAAGAGTGATATTAAAACTAATGTCAGACTAAAATGGTCAGGAAAAGAAGACTAAACAATTTGTGAGAATATAGTCATTACCGGAGATTTAGGGGAAGGGAAGATATTCCAAAACCTTAGTGTCTCATCTCCAGCTCCAGTAACTATTGTCTGCAAGAAAAAAAAAAAGTCATTTCAACCACAGGAAAAGCATGCATGTACAAATAAAGAGAAAATAAAATCGCAGAACTTTCATATATTTTATCTATTTTTATCATAATACAGAATTAGAAGCCAAGGGCAACTATAAAGTGTGGGAAGGTGAGTTACCTGTCCATCAGGTGAGATTGCAAGATAAAGAACTCTGTATATGTGGCCCGTAAGAGTAGCCAACTGCATCAGTAGAATAAAATTTTAGAGGGGGAAAAGTAGATAATGAGAGATTATTATCATAAATACACTGTTTTTAAACTTTGTATACCTTTGACATGGTAGGGTATCTCCAGACAATAATCTGGTTTTGGGAGTATCCATGAGTGCTGACAAGTTCATTGACATTCTTAGACCACACAAGATTGCATACCTGCCTTGCATAAAGTGGACATTAGAACCGTCTAGAATTTGTAACTCTAGTACTAAGTAGCACCATCAAGGCACTGTATTCTGTTAATTTCTATAATAAAACTTTTCCGTGGACACATTTCAAGAATTTATAGAACTTGAAATTAAAGATGTAGATTAAAAATTTTTATCACTCCATTATCTTCTTATTGTTGACAGGGCTACTGCATTGTGGATTGACAGGAGAATTTCTTTGAGTACCATGCAGATGACAGTGTGTTTCATCATTTCAAACTAATCAGAGAAAGATCAACTATATCAATGCAGTCAATGAAGCAACTTTATGCAACAAAAAGTCCATTTGATGCACATTTAAGCCCATACTAAAGGAGCATGATATGTTAAGAAAGAAAAATGAAAAATCACCTGACTGCCGGTGTCTATGCAGCTCAAGTGTGTGTTAGTGGTTGTATTCCAGAATCGAATACATTGATCAGCTGTACCACCTCCAGATGCAAGAAGGCCATGAAGATGAGGAGACCATGCAATTGCTTTTACAGCAGCAGTATGCTCACAGTATTTCAGGACTGGTTGATTGGAATGTTGATTCCAAACAAAAAGCTGCATACAGGTGAGATTTGTCATTCAATCAGTTAAAAGGCTAAGCATCAGAATAAGTTAGACAGGCAAAAGAACTGTTATTACATACTTTGTTGTCATTTCCGCCTGATGCTAGTTCACGGTTATCATAAGACCACTTCAATCCACAAACCTACACAATGGCCATTAAGAGATTCAGACTCAGAGTTTGGCCACACAAGCATAGCATGAATGAACACAAACACGAAGGGTAACACATGCATTTCCAAAAATAAATAATGACTTGCATGAGACAATGAAATCATGACAAAACAAGAGGAAAAAGTGGCAATTATGATATCATAGGAGATACATGTTAGAAAAATCTGAGTGTTAGAAAAAAATTCAATTGCAATAATATGCATATATACATATACAATTGTTAGGACAAAAATATTATATTGTCGATCAGGTTGAATCAAACTGATGGTGAAAAAGAGCTTAACCTCTGACTTGTGAGCAGAGAGTTTACTAGCAAAATCATCCTGAGCACGTATATCTCTTTGAAGAATGCTCTTGTCACGACTACCAGAAGATAACAGAGAAGAGCTCCAAGCCAAGGCCCCAACGCGTAACTGATGCCCCTCCATTGTTCTTACCCTCCGGCAGCGAGATGCATCCCAAATCTACATAGAAAGCAATAGCCCTTAACTAACTATAGTATCCTACAAGCAAAATGCAGGAGTCAAATATAGACAGAGGTTAGAAGACTCAATGTAAAGGCAATAGTGGAGCAAAGATAATCTCTGAATAAGAAAATGTCCAATGCTGGGCTGAATCCATAAACTATGGATAAAAGCCTTCACTTTAGGTTCATACCTTATCAGACCAATGAAGCAGATTCCCACCAAATTTAGGGCTTTTTCTACCCTCCTATTTCTCCCAAAAGTTATCTACAATTTTAAACTTTTCTAAGCTACAGCATAAAAGCAAACAATTATTTTCAGTTGCGACTTGAACATGTTGTGATAGTCGATAATCCCATAAAGGCAACCAACATATAGAAGCATTAGTAAACTCAAGAACAATTCCATAGAGAAGAAAATAACAAAAGTTGCTAGCTAAATCAAATGAATGACAATAAATTTATACTCTTCTTATTGTTTTTAGGATTCGGCAATACCCTTCTTTGGGAGACAAAACTTTCACACTTTGCACACTTTCTGCCACCCCTGTTTATATAACGACTTTGAAAACATTATTACGTTTGTTAAGAACTACTGCTTTGATTCCAAATGCAATATCGATCACATGATTACACTATCTAATTGTAACAGTCTAAAGCTAAAACTAACACAGCCTAAATCAGAAAGCAAGCATACGCACAGAGACAAACGTAATAAGTTGGCAACATAAAGATTTTTATCATCCAATAATGAAAAAATCAAACCTGAACTTTCCCGTTGCTAGTCCCAACCGCAAGATGAGTTCCACGTTGAGCCCAACCAACTGAACAAACACTGTCATCAAACCCCAAATCACACAACTTGGTGACCTTACTACTACAAGCATTCCACAAATAAACACAATTCCCCAACCCCACGGCCAACACATTATTCGAAGACCAATCTACCAAATTCAAATAAAAATCATCTTGCAGTGCAGGTGCATCCAAAACCTACAAAAACAGAAGAACAAACATTAACTCAATTTTTTTTCAAATTTCAACAGGAAAAAAAAAAACCCCCAAAAAACCCACCTTGTAAGGTGACCTGGGAACCTTCCTGGGAGCTTTAACGGGGATATGGCTAATCCCATGGACCGACTCGTCGAGCCCGAAAGGTGAAAGCGAGTGTAACGACCGTTTAGATTCAGTTTTATACCGGAAAATATTCCGGCGAGCCGGTAGGCCCGATGAGTCCTTTTTATCAGGAGTATCAGGCCCGAAAAGCGCGGCCCGTAAAAGGCTTTTATATGTACCGGAACCTTCTTCTTTTCCATCGGCTGACGTGGGAGAATTTGAGATGTCGAAAAGGGCGAAATTGGAGCCGGATCTACTGGGTATGAACCTATCAGAGTAAATTGTGCGCGAGGGAAAGCGGTTGTAGTTCGAGTTGATAATCCGGTTGATATGCATTGTCCGAGACGGAAGGTTTTCGAGGTGGATGGAAGAGTCGGACATTCTCAACGGGAGGTTGAGAGGGGGAGTTGATGGAGCTGATCGATCACGTTGATTGCTTATCGTAGGATCGTCCATAGATAATAACAATTATTATTATTATTATTTTGGGGTTGATAATTGAAACCCTAAAAAAAGAATGATCGACAGGTTGAAGACGAGTTATTGCGGGAAGATTTTTTGGTTTTTGTTTTTTGTTCGTTACCTTTTTTGGTGACGGTGACGGAGAACGTTGGCACTGTTTTAATTTTTTGCGCGAAAAGTAGGGATTCGGTGTGGACGGACCTATTTTTATACATGGATGATGAGTCGGTTGATTCATTTTTTGCTTAATAGTATTACTAATATTTATTTTATATTATTTTTTAGATTAAATAAACTTAATTTAAATTATTATTTTAATAAAATCATAAAATTAAAAATAAATAAAGAATAAAAATTTTAAAAAATATATATTTGAAATTTCAATTTAATTTAATGTTTTAAAAAATAATTATTAAAATTTAATTTTTTTGAAAATACCAAATATTAACATACAAAATTAGACAAATGGAATATATGAGAATAAATTACATTGTTAGTTGTACTAGAATTTCAAGAACGAATCTTATTCTCACAAAATTGGAATTTGAGGTGTTAACAGCAAGATCTTTATATCTTTTTGTAATTAAAAAATATAATTAAAAAAATATAAATTTATCTATATATTAGTTAAAAAATGTAAATTTTTAAAGACTGATCACAAAAAATATGGATACATATAATTAAAAATAACATAGAAATTAAAGAAATAAATAATAAAATGATATGAAAAATTAATAAATAAATAAATAAGATGTTGTATGAGCAGCACAAGAAATTTGGAAAGTAAACATAATATGATTTTTTTTTTATTTTTTATATAATCGATTTTAAAATTATAAGATATAAAATTTAATTTTTGATTATTTTTTAAAATTGTACTTTAATTGTGGAGTTGGTATTCTTTGGATCGATAAAAACTAATCAAATTTATAGTTTATAATTTTTCTAAAAATCATAATATTTTATTATTAGACAAAATTAGTAGCTTTCTCAAAACTTAAATGAAAAATAATAAAATACTAATTAAATAGTTTCTTCTTTTTCTTTTTGCAATTTAAATAGTTTTTTTTTTTTTGGACATTTTCACGGCGTTTTATTAATGTTTGTTTGTTTCCCGGGAAATCTTGGGAACGGCAACCGTCGGTGCTCAATAACTGAGGCGATATTGGGCGAAGGAAAGGAAAGGATTCGGTGTGGGTAAATGTAACGTAACAGAGATTCCATTGACAGAAGGTGGACCGTTAGATTCGACACTTCGATTCGGCTTTTCAGTTTGTATCGTATATTATAATTGGGCCATCCTATTGGAAACCGGCCCAACTCATATATTTCTTTCTCCCTCTTAAACCTTCCGTCTAATGGAAGTTTGAAAATTGCAATTTGCAAACCATTATTTCAGAACTAATGATATATTTCTTTTGGTAAGACAGCATAAAATTTTCATAAAATTAAAATAAATAGAAAATATTAAAACTGAGTCCCATAAGAAATAGTTTATTGAAAAATAAAAGATTTTGCAAATTAGACTCAGTTTAATTGGGCTAAACCAGTCCAAAATCATTGTATTTATTGTTGAAAATTTTTTTTGGCTAATTTTTTTTCCTTTTAAAAAACATACAATTTGAATACCTCAAAAAAAAAAAAAAACTTAAAATTTGGAGGTTTTTTAAATCATCAATCTGGTAGTCGTTTGGAATGTTATTTTGCTATAAGATCTATTTCCTTGAAAGTAATAATTAAAAGGAAAATGATACTTAATCCTTCAAAATTTACTTCCTAATTCCATTTTTCTGCATATATAATCACATGTTACACCCAAACTTAAAATAATTAAAGATAAAAATGAGGTGAGAAAGAATAACGAGAAAAATATGTAAAATTCAAGTTTTAACCACCCAAGTGATAACATACAATAAATTTAAAATTTTTTTAAAAATTGTAAAAATTTAAATTTTAAATTAACTGAATTCAAATTAGAATTCAAATCTTTTACTTGAACTTGAGACATGGGCTGATGGTGCCATTTTGGCTCAATGACCATTGCAAGGCCTAGAAAATGCTAAAAGCATAAAAACAAAGTGTTCAATGCATAGAGGGGATGGTGCAGCAAGAAAATCATGGCTGATTGGCATTAAATGAGAGGGGGAAAAAGTTGATGGAGATTTTTTTTTTTTGGGATAGATGATGGAGGTATTAGTTAAAGTTAATATTATGAGGAATAATTGAAGGTTGATAATAACATCCTTGACCTTGAATTATAAGGTTCCCCACTTTGGGTAGCATAGCCAAGCCCTATTTCCATCTTCATCAGAGATTAATTTCCTGAGAGAAATAATTGCCTATTTTGTTTTGCACGATAGCATTTCTTAATTCAGATTTCAGTCTGTTATATCTAACATTAGAAGCTATTAAAAGCTGAAAAACTCTGTGTTATAATATGGAAGCCAACGGATTGCTATGGCCCATACACGACATAAGTAGAGGTGGCCACCAACTCTTTTCACCCCTAAACAAACTTAAATTTCAAGGGTCTTCAAATGATAATTGTGTTTGACCCACAAAGGAGAAAAGAAATTTGTTAAGACATGCAGTCTTCTTTCCATGATGTTGTAATTGTTAGCAAAAATTACCGAGGGATGCTTGCATGATTTCAGCCAAGAACTTCTCTGCTACTACCAAATTAGACTGTTTCCTACATTTTGATTTTATGATGGTGAAAAACAACAGTAAATATCCAAAATTTTACATGCAATTTTTTTTTTGCTTGGCGGGGGGAATAGGGATGAGGGGTAAAGGAAGCACTTTGGTTTTCTTTGGTCCTTAATTGTCAGTGAAAGTTGTAATCATTTTTGGAAAATATTTAAAGCTCACGCTCATGGCTTTTTGACTGATGTAGGCCAGAAGGACAGAACGGAAAAGCCCTTTCAATTTAATGTTTTTTGGAACCCGAAATTTCAAATAAACAATTAACAATCTGATATTCTGCGGTTTGTTCCAATTTGAGCTCAGAAAGAATGAAATTCTGAAGCACAGAGATATCCTTGAAAAACAGAGTTGTCCTGTTCCAAGAAATTGAACATAAGAACATATTGTCGTATTTGTTTTCTATCTCAAAAACAAATAGAGTTAATCTTACAAAAAGAATGATCATAGATATAAAAAAAAAAAAATCATGTAACTAACATTTCAAGAAGAGTAAGGTATGTACTCATGTTCCATTGTTGGCGTTGTTCGAGTAACAGATGCAATTGGAGCCCTGATATGTCCAACCATGGAAACCTGAAGAGCTTCCTCTTCATATGCTCTCCTCTCCAACTCCTCCATTCTTGCTTTCTTCTTCACCCTCACAAACATTGCCACCAAAAGCAACGCCAAGAGGAAAGCACCCAACGCAGCTCCAATTGAGCTTCCAACCGCCACTTTCCATCTGCTAATCTTCTTCCTCACAGGCATCAATGGCGGTGACTCAATGACCAAACCGAAATGGCCATGCCTGGTTGCAACACAAACGTTGGGTAATACTTGGTTTTTGAATGTTACTTTGCCATCTCCTTCGAAACTAGCACACAATGGCCTGATTCCTGTCATGTTGGATGCCTTTGTAATGTTGCTGAAATCTATATTAATTGGATTTTCCCTGGCAAAAATTCCTACCTGAAAAGGGCTACCAGGACTCATATCACTACCAACATTATAAGCGAGGAGGCCTAATACAGGTGACACAAGCTGGTAACCTGATAGATCGTAGTTTGCATAATATATGGATGACCAATTATAACCCAAGTTTTGTCTAACTACCATGACTCTCTCTGCACAAGGCTGCACAGTCACACCACTTCCCAGACGAAATTCCTTAACTAGTGCACCATATCTGTGGAGACTTCCACATCTAAACCTTGCTATATCGACTTTGATGCCAGAGAAGTTTGCAGGTAAACGTACAGTGTGTACAACACCTGTTCTCCAATGCCTGTCAAAGGACTTTACTGTGTAGTCCCTAATGAGAAGATCGAGAAGGCGAGCTGATCTGATCCCTTCAGCTTCAGCTTTCAATGAGAGTAATGATGCCCATGAAAGTATTATCAATGTGAGGGAGAAGAGAGAGCCCATGAGAAGAACTTAGGTTGGCCAGAACTGTTTTGTGTGGTCTTTTTCTAGGCTGGTGTATGGAAGGAACTTTATTTCTTTGAAAGCTATATTCTAGATCAGATTATTGTTTCTCTTCTAGATGTGACAGGTTTGAAATTGCCAAGAGGAAAGTATGTAATGTTTGGAGAAGTTTATAGATGATAGAGGCTTTGAATTTAAGAGAAAGAAAGTACTAGTAAAAAAAAAAAAAGGAAGGAAAGTTCTTGTTTTCTTTTCATTATATGGTGTCCCAAGTAGAATCTAAATGAGATAGCCGAAACAATGTAGCTAAAAACGATTGCCTGCTTCGGATAATGTAGGGGCATCTGCAGTTTCTCCAATGGTTCAATCCAATTTAAATTTGCCACATTGGTGAATTTACAATGAGATTTTCTCTTTTTCTAACAATGAGATTCTCCTTTTTCTTTGCTGTCAACCATATATCATCTACATAAAAAAATTACTGAATACGATGTGATTTTAGGAGGATTTTGGAGTTTCTAGCAAGCAACAGGCACTTCTATATGCATTAATAAATTCCCTTGAAATTGCCTAAAAGCTTCTAAAACATGAAGCTTTTATGCTTGCGGCACGGAAAGAAGCTTTGACGAGCTAGGCAGGAGGAGGATTAAGGTTGGGAGAAATGATTTGGGGCGTGGCCTGATGATGAGTGATGACCCCTCATATAAAAAAGGGAAATGAAAAGGAAGCTGGCGTGCTGAGGGATTGAAATGAGGGTATATTTCCCATTTGGGGGCTCAGTACTCAAACTGTGGTTTTAACATGTTCCCCACTTTAAAAAATTTTGTGGGTCTCATGTTAGCTAGCCATATGGCATCCTGTCACAATTCTTTTTATCCCTTTGATTTGGTCCACAGACACACATGGCCTTTGTACAAAAAAATCAAAAGAATTAGTAGTACCAGAGAGTAAAAGTTCTTTTTAATTATGCCAACTGCCATCTTTAGTCTTGGTTATTGGTTTAGGTTTTTAGCTAATGCATGCATTATTTATCAGTTCTGTATTTCAATGTTCTGTATTGCAAATATTGAGCAAAAATTGAAGATCAAAATCTTTGACCTAGGGCTTTAAAAAGGGCAAAAAAAGGAAAAAGAAGAGTCATTGTGAACTTGTTGATTAACGGAAGTTCACATTTGTCTTGTAAATCAATCCTACATTTCAATTTGTAGGTGCAACATTCCAAGCTATGATGGTCTCCTTGGTTAAGTATGGAGCTTGAAGGAAAGAGATTGGCCTCCAAGAGTTGCAAATGCCTGGTATGAAGCTTCCCAGTTATGGCTCATGCTAATCCACCCTGTTCTGCTTCCTTTAACCCACATGTTTGCAATTTCACCACCTCCTCTTACATTCATCACACACCAATAACCGGTACCCATTTCCTTTGAAAGAAAATCTAAGCCCGCCTGGCCTCACACACGGCTCCCTACAAGGATTGAAATGCATATATATATATAGAACATTTAGGAGGCCATGTTTTGATAGAAAAGTTATCATAGTTCATTACTTTGTTGGAGTGTTAAAAATGGTTTAAACATATTCCTTCATACATTGAATTTTTTGTATCAAAACAATAAAAGTGAGGATTTGAATAGTCAAACCGAAATTTTAAACAAATAGGTGAAGGTTTAAGACGGGATTTGAATATCCAACGGGCTTAGAGTTTGAATCTTGAGGATGTTATATACGTTCGGCAGATGATGGGACAATGCCAGCCTTCCACTGTGCAATTTTCATGAAAGCGGGCTTGGACATGTCTAAATGGACTCGAGGAGGGTTGCACCATCCACCATTGTTGGAGTCTTGGGCCCAATTTTGGAGGGCAAAGATTGGTAGCAGTCACTGTGGTGAATGGAACCCCACGGTAACACCAAGGTGATTGGACACACTTTATCAGGTAACAAGTGCCGCAAGCAAACCCATTGTTGAACAATGCTGTGCTAAGAGCAGCTGTGTCCGTGCCGTAACCATTGCTAAACAAATTCCCATACCGACAATCTCCTCCTTTAAGCTCACACAGAAAACGTACTGGGTTAAATCACCAATGATGGACCTGAACTACTATTAGAAAGTATACACGATGTTGCTTCATGATTGATACCGATTAACGACCAATACACATGATTTAGACCAAAATTAGATGAGAAAAATCCTATTATATACATAACAATGGAAAGGTTCAAAACAATGACGTCTATGAAGGTGCTTATATGACGAACATACCCTTAGTCTATGAAGGAATGCCAAATTATCTTTTGCTTGTGTATCCTGATAAACGTGGTCGTTTTATGGTGAGGCAGGTATTTGCTTCTTTTGTGTTCCAGGCAATTTTTGTTTATGCGAATATGCGGTTAAAGACTTGCGCTATGTTTGAATAAAAGTTAAAAAAAAAAAAAGAAAGTAAAGTAAAAGAAGTGAAGGTTTTTTAAAGGAAAGGAAAAGATATATGTATATTTTATTTGAAAAGTTAAAATTAATAAAAAAATAAAAAAATTTTAACAACTATTGTTTTATTAAATAATGAAAAAGAAAAAAAATTTATTATATTATTTTTTTATTATAACTTTTGATAATATTTGATTTTATTATAACATTTTCATATTTATGTTAACGTATTTCATATTTTTAATTTTTTTTATTTTTTCATAAAAATAATCATCAATTAAATTTATAGAATTCATAAAAATAAAGAAAAAAATTGAAGATAATAAATTTATTGATAAATAATATTTTGTATTCTCAATTTAATTTTGAAGTTTAAAATCATATACTTTTAATTTATAAAAATTAATAAAAATATAATAATCATTTTATATTTTAAAAATTTTATTCTTTTCCTTTCCTTTCCTTTTCCTCCAGTTTGAAATAATTAAAAAATGAAGAAAATTTAAAAAACCTAAAGGGAGCTAAGTATATTTTCCTTTCCTTTATTTTTATTTATGTCATATACAAACAACGGAAAGGATTCTCCATTTCCTTTTGTTTTCTTTCTATTCTTTTCCTTTCTCTCCCATTACCTCAGTCCAAACATACTGTTAGAGCCAAGTACTACTGCAAGCATGTGGTCATGGTTTTCATACATTGTCATTGATCTGGATTGATTCAATTCAGTTCATAGATTTATTGTCGCCGATAATTTGTATTACAAGCCATAAAAAAGCAAAATAAGTCAAATATTTTCACTACGTTCCCAGAAAAATGGACAAAGTTGACATATTCAACTCGGTCAAATTTGCAAGAGGAAACTCCTATGACGAGAACTGATGCCAGTTTTTCTTCTCTCATGGAAGTTGTAATCTGTTTTGCTATTGGCTTTTCTGTAGGTGGGCATGACCAATTCTTATGGAAATGGGAGAGTTGATGATAATAAGGCATTGGCTGATCTTAGTTTCCAGGTAGACTAAAAAATATCCATATCCGAATTATACTTTTAAGTCATTTAAAGTTTGTTTGCATTTAATATCCAGATTGGAGATTACATGGATGTGGCAATCTTATAGAGGAACAGGATGTTGATAAGATAAGTGGCAATAGCATTGCGTTAATAGTATTTCCATGGTTGATTGATGTGAGGGTCTGGTCTCTTAATGTGTTTCGGCCTTTTGGATTGGATTGGTGCTCCTTTTTGTTAGAGCATGTTCCCATATGCTTAATTTTGCTTATCTTTGAATGCCTTTGGGTGCTGAAACATGTCACTGCAATTTTTGTACCCTGTTCTTGTCCCAGACAGCATACATTTGGCTTATATCGACCAGAATCTTTTCTATTCGTTTATTTACTACTATTTTTTGGCCATCAAAGTTTATTTAGTAATTGATGGTGCTGCTTCGAGATTAGTTTCTCGATACAGCAGGCTATACAATGATCTGATTTTACTTAAATGTACTACACTATGAACAATATAGTGAGAATGGAATCAAAAGAAAGCTTCAGCCTTACAAATACGAATTACAGCTCATTCAGAGCATTGCATAGAATATGATTTATTGAATTAAAGATCTTCACAACAATTTCGCTCTCTTCTCTTCCTGTCAACATTCCTGTTATAGGTATAAATATATTACATGTTGCTTACAAATACAGTGTTTGACGTAACATACAACAGGTATACATTCTACAATGCAGCACATATCAAAATTTCCTCCTGTGCTGCAAATGATGACCCACCAGGTTTAGAACATATGACACTCTTCACTCCATGAGTTAGTAGCAGTCTTAATGTGGATCCCTGGAAGTAATTTATCCTGCAGCCATGGCCATGCCCGTTAAAAAGTGGGAATAACACTGCCCAAGAGAAGAGAAGAAAAGTAAATTACTAGCACTATTTCTCTGTTTGAAAGTAACTCAAGCACAGGCTAGGCTAGAGCCTGCAACTTTTGGAGGCAGGAGACAGAAATTAAACAAGAACATCAATTGCAATTAAGACATCAAAACATTCGCTAGTATAAGAGCATAATGAATCCATAAGTAACTGATTGGTCCCTTTGCCTTGTCCCCCTTTGGTTGAACGAAAAAATTGGCTAATGATTTACTTATTTCTTAATTCTGAAAATGCAAATACGTAGCAAGTCAAAATTTGAAGTTCTGAGAACCGTATTAGGTATACTATCTGATATTTGAAAGTTATCCCATGAGGGATTCTACAGTAAGCATGGTTTATAGTATATACCTCCAATCAAGCTTGACTTCCTTCTGGCAATGTAATCAACCGCGTTTTCGAATTATACTCCAATGGGGTTCCACAACTGAAGTGAAAAACAATTGGAACTTAGAACTTTGCAGCGATGTGAATGATGAAAACTCAAAGTTCTATTAGTGAATGTGGTTAGTAAACAAATGGTCGACTTTTCATTTTTTTTTTTTAAAGGCTGACAAATGATCGACTTACTTTGAACATTTAAGAGTGTTGGTGGTTCCACCACTGGAAATCGATAATATGGTGCCAAAGAAGGAGACATTCTCAGTACCACAGTTCGGGCAAGGACCCTAGAAGGTAAAGTCACAAATTAGTTTCATCATCGTTTATAGAAACAATATGGGGTGTTTCAGAGTAACATTGGAAGGGATGAAACAATTGTTTTACCTTTAGGATCAGAAAGTCTCTCACAACCACTTTTGTGAGGGCTTGAGCTAACCAAACACAAAAGGGCACAGCAGCAAACCACGTGAAAATGAAACTGAATGGTTCTGGGAGCTGCAATTCAAAAATGCGCAGTAAAAATTTTAAGTACAAAAACAAATGTAGGACACATATTTAATGACAGACTGACAGTGTACAAAAGGCTGTGAGCATGGCTATCCGATTGGCATCACACTTTCCCGTTGTCAATGTGAGGTTTCAAATTTGGAAAAGGGCAGAGAACCAGGATAATATATGAGCCTTTGCATGGATTAATTTCAGCAGCAAAACAACAGCGATAATAACAGTTTACCTCCAACAGATATGAGATTTCAAATCCAGTCAGATCATCTAGGAAGAAAAACCTAGCAAGACCAGAACATAGATGAGTGAATTATAGGGATAAGTCGTATCATAACTACAGATGAAAAGCATGACAACAGGCTTGGAATGCAGATTTCTTTTAAGTAGTCAATATCTTGTTGTTTTCAGATAAAAACAGTACTAGTGCAAAGAAAGAAAGGAAAAAAAAACTTACAATCCTAGGGCAAAAAAAACTTACAATCCTAGGGCAATCACAGTCGCTGGGACATTCAAGAGGAACATCTTCAAATAGTCAACATAGAGGTCACTGTACACCTAAGAAAAGAAAGATAATCCAATGAGTGTGAATTGAACAATTATACTAGGCTTAAACAGAAAATTCCTTTGTGCTTTTGAAGTTGAAAGATGATCACTGTACGCCTATGTGGGATGCTTAATTCAAAATAATTCATGGTATGCACAGCCACACTAAAAACAGAAGAAAACAGAACACTCTCTACCTTTCTACTACGGAGACTGCATCGTGGACCCTCAACCACAATTTCACTTCCTTCCATCTAGACAATAGTTATAGAAAAAATAACAATATTAGAAGGAAATGCTACATTAAACAAGTAAATCTGATAGCCTAATCTCCATTACTAACTACAGGCGATTTAGGATAGGAAAAGGGCAGAAATAGAGCTTACATGGTTGCATAATTTGTAGGGTAGAATTCTCCTTTTCTCATTAAAGCAAATTCATAAATCAGTTACATTAACTAGATATTTTAGGCACTTCAGTAGCTGGGAACAGTCCACACCATATAAGGGTACAACTCTCCTTCGCTTTCTAAATCAAACCCATAAACCAGAAGCATACAAACCAACAATTTATGCAGTGCTGTAGCACTATACCTTTCACAGCACAAAAAAAAAGTCTTATGTTTCATCATGAAGACCTATATAAGAACAGGATACTGTAATATTCAATAGGATGAGTAAACACAGGTTAGGTCATGATGCAATGAAGAACTACTCTGCTAACGTTTCCAACAATTGGTGAGATTGAGAGGTGAAGATCATTTTGTGTCATCTAAAAAGGAGACAAATGCTGACAAACCTTTAGCCTCAGCTTCAAATTATCAAATTCTTCATCACTCAGAATTGGCTTCCCAGACACATAAGCCATTGATGCTTCCAGAAACTTCTGCTCATCAGAACCTGGAAAAAGAGGAAACCAAGAAAGTTATAACATCTTCAAGGTTAATGTTAGGATTCATGACCATATTACTTGAACACTGCTTGATAGGAAATTTGTACTGTACTTAGCATGACAACACTGCTTCCTTCCCACATTAGTTCTTCCTTTAGATTATCGAATTCCTCATTTGACATGATAGCTTTTCCCTCATAATAAAATGCCTGCCAAAAAAAAAAAAGAAAGAAAGGAAGAAAATTTGTGTCATGCTTATGCATACTTGACAGCCAGGTTGAAGTTAACGCGATCAGGAAAGGTTTTCTAGTTTGGTTTCTAAGTAGAACACCACCGCTGCTCCATTCATTGGTAGAGTTGATATATGTGTTAAGTATCCGAATTGAAGGGAAAACAAATTACTAAAAACATAATTGTGCTGCCATACTTGTAGGGCTTGAAGAAACTCTTGCTCCATTTCTCCCAATGACTTCTTCTCTTTCTTGTCTATGCTACAGTATGGCAGAATTTTACTATCAACAACCCCATCTTCTTCGACCTGACCTGCAAAGAATGATAGATTCACCTCAACGATTCTCCCACAAATCAAAGTCTTTTTTCAGGAATATATTTCAATTTTCTGTCAAATTTAGCTGTAAGCTTAACTATGGAATTTTTTTTGGGTCTCGGAAAGATGATTATAAGTTTCAAACCTTGTTGATCAGCAGTAGCCTTGATGGGAAGTAAGAACAATCTCCGTCGAAAACATAGCTGCTTTCCATTGGATTGAACCCTGGTAGAAGAAGATGAAGAGAAAGTAATCAAGGGTTTTTGAAAGGTGACAGTGAACAAACGAGGGGGTGTCAAAGAAAAGGCCAACTTGATAGCCATTGATGAACAAGGCAAAAATTAACCAAGAACTCAATCTGTTAAAGCTATGGAGCTATTTGGTTTTTGCTGGTTTCAGGTGGTGAGAGAGTCAAGCTGATGATGATGGAGCATTGTGATTTAATTTGTTTCACTCTTTCTTTTTTTGGTATTTTTGGAGGGAAAGAGAGACAGCATAAAGATAAGGCAACCTATTAACGTGTGAAGGGAAATGCAACGGTCTTACCTCGTTCGTCTTGCTTCAGAGGATAACCGATTTTTGATCTGACAAATCTGCCACGTCATCATCTCTCATTCTACACCCCTGAGGTGGACATGCGGTTGCCTTGTCTTGGCCACGTGAGTCCATTGGGCAGTCACGTGTTCATGTCTTTTAGGGCCCACGTTTGAGTTTTGTGTTTCTTGGGCTTCATTACTCAGTTTGTGCTTCCTCTAGTCTTTTGGCGCCCGGTCTAGCCAGCCTCCTATCTTTTTTGAAAAAAAATGGAAATTAAATATAATTTGTAGTGATTAATTTGATCATAGATATTAAAATTAAAAAAAAAAAGGAAAATGGACTTGATTATAATTGGAGAAGAAATTTCTAAAAAGGGATTTCAGATTTTTAATCTTATAAAGTTTTTAGCATATATTATTAGGATAATTAGGCCAAAAAATTCAAGATCAAGTTTGACCGATACATGAAGCAAATGATTGATAGTGCAATAGTACTTGATCTTTCATGGATGCAGTACTCTAGAACTTGAGCATGGCTGACTTCTATTCCCGTTGGCCAGCTACCTTTGATTTTGAAAACAATGTTCCTCAGCCCATAGATTTTCTCACCTTCCCTGCCTAGTTTTTGTTTGATCGTCCCACAGCAGCAGCAGCAGGCACTGAGGCTGAGGCTGACTGAAAGCTCATTGGCAGAAGCACGAAACACCAACAACCTTATTCTTCCAGATGCAGCTCTTTCGATCCCATTCAACAACGTAGTTTATAATTAACTCTGAGCCCAATAAAAAATTCTAATACAACAATAAAAAAATGCAGACTATAATGATACGATAGGGGTAACATGGACTGAAATTAACAAGTATTAATTAATATTATTGTTCACATTCCAATCCTCGCCAATCCTTTATAAAAAAGAAAAATAAATAAATTATATGATCGTTCATTTAATTTTGATTTATTTTTTTAAATTGTGAATACTCAATCGTTAAAGAATACGAAATATTCACCTGATTTACGCATGGTCATATCATTTAAACAATCATTTGACTTAGAATGATTTCCAACGAAAAATTAAAATAATTTCATCAATAATGAGTATATTTGCATTTCTAATAAGCTACTAATTAATTAAGTTTACCGTTTAATATCTAATCGAAATACTAAAGATGTGTAAACTTGTTCTTATTGCTGATGGTCATTCTTCTTTATTACAATCTAAAGTTTGGTCAAATATAATTATTTTTGAACATAACTCAGGATTGTTTGAAGATTGGTAATTATGCTTGCTAAGCAGTAGATTTTCTCAAATAATTATATGAAAGTATAAGCGCATGTGGCTGAGAAATGGTGACAGAACTTTTCTACTATAATTTATCTGAAAAGAGAAGGAAAGTGTTAGGCTCGGACTCCACATTCGCTCCAATCTTCCAGTCAACTCAGATTTAGGACATCCAAGTTTGTTTGACCATGGCTACTCACCACGTGTATAACTTACCGTCTATTTTTCTTCAATAGGATTTCCTTCTCTTGAGTTGGTAGCTCTACACCATTACTTGTTCAGCAGGCAACTGATCATTGCTTGATTTTCCATTGTTTTCTTCATCCATGGCCCTATAAAAAGCCCTCTAACGATCAGCAGTAAAGCATATTCCTCATACTGCAATTTCGCAAAAGTTTTCAAACAAGTTTAGATTGCTAGAATGGTGACTTCAGTGGCCCCCAGAGTAGAGAGCTTGGCAAGCAGTGGGATTCAGTCAATCCCGAAAGAGTATATCAGACCTCAGGAAGAGCTGACAAGCATAGGTAATGTATTGGAGGAAGAGAAAAAAGAGGAAGGGCCTCGAGTTCCAACCATTGATTTAAAGGAAATTGACTCTGAGGACAACGAGGTACGCCAAAGATGTCGCCAGGAGTTGAAGAAAGCTGCCATGGAATGGGGTGTGATGCAACTTGTTAACCATGGAATCTCGGACGAACTCATGGATCGTGTCAGGAAAGCTGGACAGAAGTTCTTTGAACTCCCTCTTGAGGAGAAAGAGAAGTATGCAAACGACCAGGATTCAGGGAAGATTCAGGGGTATGGCAGCAAGCTAGCTAACAACGCTAGTGGGCAGCTTGAATGGGAAGACTACTTCTTCCATCTTGTGTATCCTGAGGAGAAGAGAGACTTGTCAATCTGGCCTAAAACACCAAGCGACTACACGTGAGTAATTTAGCTTGTTTACACTCAAATATAGTTGAATTCTGGTTTATTTTGTTTATAACTAGATTCTTTACATGCTATATTGTCTACCGGATTCATTGAAAACTTTCACATTTAATCAAATGATCTATCAGTTTGAGAATTAATTATCTGCCTGATTAGATAGAATCTACTTTTCATTACATCAGGTTACATTACCATAAAATTAAACCTAGATGATCCGTATGGATTTTAACAATTCACCTTATTAACGTTAATTGGTTACTACATATATATGCAGTGAAGTCACAAGTGAGTACGCAAGGGAACTCCGAGCCCTAGCAAGCAAGATTCTTTCGGCACTGTCACTCTGCTTGGGATTGGAAGAAGGAAGGCTAGAGAAGGAAGTTGGTGGCTTGGAAGAGCTCCTCCTCCAAATGAAAATCAATTACTACCCCAAATGCCCTCAACCAGAACTCGCTCTCGGCGTTGAAGCTCACACAGATGTAAGTGCACTCACTTTCATTCTCCACAACATGGTTCCTGGGCTTCAACTTTTCTACGAAGGCAAGTGGATCACCGCCAAATGTGTTCCAAACTCCATCATCATGCACATTGGCGACACCATCGAGATCCTCAGCAATGGTAAGTACAAGAGCATTCTTCATAGGGGTTTGGTTAACAAGGAGAAGGTTAGGATCTCATGGGCAGTTTTCTGTGAACCGCCAAAGGAGAAGATCATTCTCAAGCCACTGCCAGAGACAGTGTCCGAGACAGAGCCTCCTTTGTACCCTCCTCGCACCTTTGCTCAGCATATCCAGCACAAGCTGTTCAGGAAGACCCAGGATGGTCTGTCTAAGTGAGACCAGTCTTTAGTTACATCAAAAATATCTTGTGATTTTCAATGCATGTTTTCGGGTCTGATGATGCTATATTTTCATGATTTAAAGCCTTGGATGTGGTAGGCTGACACCAGTGTGGTGTGTGTCTGGCACTCCTTGGCTTCTCTTTCACCTGTTTTATGGAATAATGAGAGACTAATTTGCTTCCTTGTATTAAGCTGTTTCTGAATTAATGCCTTTGTTTACATTTTCTTCCTCGATTTGTCTCCTGAATCTTTCCTTGGCAAAACTCTTTGTACACCTATAGTTCGTTTTCGTTTTCCATTTAAAATAAGCAAAACTCTTCTCTTTTACACTGTTATTTTCTTTGTTGAGTAGGATTACCATGCATACAAATACCAATTAAGCTCAACAAGTAAAAAAAAAAATGCAGTTTATTTCGATCTTTAAAATTCTGATGATGTACAAAAGCATTAATATATCATTATTTTTTATCGCAAAATTTTTAATACATTTCATAAAATAAAATGTACAATTACTCTGAATCGATTGAAGCGAATGAAGCATCAAAAGATTATGATCCTAATCCTGCGGAAAGATTGTCAAATGAGGAAGTTACCACAAGCGATAGCCCCTTCATTCAAGTTGAGCAGGTGAAAGCAAAGGCTTATTAGAAAAAAAAGCCTTCTAGTTCCCCACTACCAGCTCTTGCAATGCTGCAAAGGATTATGGGGTGTAGACAGCAGCATGAGGAGTCAAAACAACATTCTCCATTGCAAACAGCTCTTGCGGTACATGGGGCTCGTTCTCGTGCACATCAAGACCTGCACCACCAATTCGTCCTTGCACCAAAAACTTCACCAATTCCTTCTCATCGATCAGAGCCCCCCTTCCAATGTTAATTATAACTCCTTCCTTCCCCAATGCCTCCATGACGCTCCTGTTGATTATGTGGCGAGTTTCTTTTGTCAATGAACAGCAAAGAATGAGAGCATCACTGTTTGTTGCAAGGTCAACGACTGTGGAATAGTAAGGGTATGGGACAAATGGCTTCTCCTTCCTTGAGCAGTAGGCAATGTTGCAGCCAAAAGCTACCAGCCTTTTGGCAACTTCGGACCCAATTCTTCCAAGCCCCAGAATTCCAACTCGCTTTCCACCCAACTGCAACCAAACCATGAATCAGGATTATATATCTAGTATTCATCTAAGAAGCATTAGAATAGAGTCATAGAGCTCAAACCCACACTATATATCCCGATTTATCTTTTTATCTTTGACTAATTTCCCCAGGATGATTCTATCATATATGCTCTATGCATTTATTTTCATTAAGCTTTTGGCTAAATGAACTTTTGTTCATGATGGAGAAAAGAACAAAGCAAGGCACCTCTTGACCATCAAATTTAACACAATCAATCATCAATTTACGTTCCCATGCTTTTCATTGTTGTATCTTGCAATACTTTTGCAGGTATGGTCCCTTTGGAATGTTACGAAAATTTAAAAATACACTTAAAAGATAATAATCACCTTGAGACCAAGCGGATATGGTCCCTTTGCGACCCAAAATCCGGACCGAACATACCCATCACTGGCTGACACTCGCCGGAGAACATCGATGAGAAGCCCGACAGCAAAGTCAGCAACATCCTCTGAGAAGACTTGACCTGCACTGGTGACGGCAATGCCTCGGCGGTGGCACTCTTGTAAGTCGATGTGGTCAATTCCAGCACTTGAGGCCACAACAAGCTTCACAGAAGGAAGAAGGGAAAGGGTTTCCGAGGAGACGGTGGTGCTGCCCACGCAGAGAAGGGCAAGCACGGAGGAAGCATGACGGGGGAGGAAAGAGTGGGTTGGCTCGGATGAGTCGAGTGGGTCAAGGAGATTGAAATGTGCTTGTAATTGGGATTTGAAGAAGAAGAAAGGAGGAACAGAAGGAGAGCGAAGGACAAGAACAAGAGGGAGGAGGTCTTGTTGAAGGGTTTTGGAGAGGTTTTGCTGTTTTTGATGATAACCCATACTTTTCAGGATCGTTTTTCAGACGACAGAGGAAGCCATAATCCTTCTGATGTGTTAATATGATATTTGAAAAAAAAATGAAAAAGAAAAATTAATGAAAAACTTCAATTTCAATGTATTCATATATATGACTTTAATTTTTTTTTTTACTTTTGGGTATTTCTAATTTATAAATGACTTTTATTGTACTCGTGATAATGTTTTTAAGGGTGCCATTATAGCAGCCCTAATTAATCGTGTTTGGATGAAAATAGTGTTAAAATCAGTAATATTTTGGTCTTAGCCTAAAAAATCTGGAAATTTTTGGCATGGCTCGGGCAAAGGTGGACCATGTAAACCATTTGGGTCTAGCCTGAGCTGGACCAGATTAAACTTAGTTTAAAACACATTCTCTCTCATTCACAGACGCACGCATCACCGTCCGATCTGTCCACCTTCTACAGCCCCCCGGACCACTCCAAAACCGCTCAATCGCCAGAGCCGTAAATGGGAAAAAAACCCATACTCAAACGGCGTCTAATTTGAAGGTTCAATTCAAGGGAAGGAAAATTGAAAAAAAATAAAAAAATAAGGGAAAATTAGGGCTCATTACTACAGGCGCAAGACACAACTCAAAAGACAATCACTTGGTACTTTCACTTGAACGCTACTCTCCTGTGTCTTTGCCTTGGGCTTTTTGTTCTCTCAAACAGGTACACTCTTTTACTTCTTTCTTTCTACTTCAATTTTCTCTTTTCGTTTTATGTCCTGTTTGGTTGCTGAGAAACAAAGTAGTAGAAGGAAAATGGGAGTAATTCCTTTGGATAATTAGTTTTAAATTGTTTTCTGAGATTTTCGTTTTATTGAATGTTAACTTTCCCAAATTTTATTTCGTCTATAAAATAATTTGTTTTTCTCTTCTTTTTTTTTTTATGTTTCAAATAAGGAATTGGCCGTAATTTATTTGTTCGTGAGAATTTATCTCTGCTTACTGCTGCTGACGCTAGAGATTTCTGATACTTGAGCTCTGTCCATATTGAATGAGATTGCAAAATATTACTGTTTTTTTTTTTTTCAAATACTACAGAGCCTGCTTAAAGCTTTGTACTGCTGCAGAGTCTGCTTGAATCTTTATACTGCGGCAGAATCTGTCTTGAATATTTTACCCATATCTGCATTCTGATAGGAAGACAATTCGGACATGTCTTCTGATACTGCGAGAGAAAATGCGTCTGTAGTTGATTCATCAGTGACTGAATGGAAAAATGACATGGGAAATTCAGATGATCTAGGTAATTTGTTTAACACATTATTACATGTTTCTTGTATTTTAATTAACTTGATTGATGAGAAATTTGTCTTCCCCATATATTTATGCTTGCATCTTATGTGGAGCATGATTGTGGTTGTAGCTAGAATTATTTTAAAACAGCTTATAACTAAGTTTTATGATCTCCTTCTCTCTTTGCCTTGCTCAGAACAAATGTATGGTTCTTTGGGACACATATAATTTGGAAGTGCTATTGTGCTATTAATAGGAATACCCATCTATAGTACACTTTAGTGCAAGAAACATGAACTAAAACCAGGTTTTCCTTGCCATGGATGATGGCAGCAGTTAATGTTTATCAAGTTTGCTGAAGTGTAAAAGTTTTGACCATCTAATGCATGAAGTGGATTATGATAAAACTTGATGTTCCTCCTTTATTCGCATTATAATTTCATCGTAGATGTGTGATCATAACTATCTTTTCTTTCATGTGATTTTGGATTGGCTGATGGTTGTGTAAAAATAAGACATTAAACAAGACACAAGCAGGATAGAGTTCTAACTTCATTGAAACTTGTTCACCTGACTTTGTGATACATTATGGAGACGTTGGCACCGATCTGTCTCCATCTATATTTTTGTACTATAATTAAGTAAAACTTCTTGTGGTAGACCATGAAAGATGTGGATGCAAGTAATAAGAAATGATATGAGGGTTAAGGAAGTAGATGAAAAGGTTGTTTGTGATAGAAATGAGTGGCGTAAGAAGATTCAAAACTACGATCTAAATGATTCCTTTTTTTAGCCTTTCATACAGCCAACCACAGAGTAATGGGATATAAGGCTTAGTTTGTTATTGTTGTTGTTGTTGTAATTAAGCAATGAAGATTGTTAACATTTATATATTAAAGTGCAGTCTGTAGATTATCCTTTTACTGCTTTCCATGTGCTTTTTGTGTACAGAATTTGCCAGTTATTTGGCAACTGCCTTTTCTATTCAAGTTTTATTTATTATCAGTAAGCCATTTTTCCTATGGTGTATGTCAGAGAATGAGGATGGCTATCCCTTTAGGGCACAAGAACCAGAGCATTCCCACGTCACAGACAAAAGGGGTGAATTGTATAATACAAGATATTTCATCATTAAGAGTTTGAACCACCAAAATATCCAATTATCGATTGACAAAGGAATTTGGGCTACTCAAGTCATGAATGAACCAATTCTGGAAGAAGCCTTTCATGTAAAATCCCTCTTATTTCGATCTTATGTAGTTTTTCTAGTCTAGATGTTTTATACGGTAGAATTTTCTTGCCTTGCAGAATTCTGGTAGAGTTATTTTAATATTTAGTGTCAACATGAGTGGTTTCTTCCAAGGTTATGCCCAAATGTTGTCTTCCGTTGGATGGAGGCGAGATAATGTTTGGAGCCAAGGAAGTGGTAAAGGTAACCCTTGGGGCCGGAGTTTTAAGATCAAATGGCTTTGCTTAAATCACTTGCCTTTTCAAAAGACTCTACACCTTAAGAACCCATTGAATGACTACAAACCTATCAAAATCAGCAGAGACTGCCAGGTATCCTTTATATTATGCTGTTGTTTCTCCTTTTTCTTTTTGGAAATAAAAAAAATTAAGCATCTGTGTGATGCACGCTAAGATTTTGATTCATGTTTTCTTTTTAGGAATTACCTCAAGATATAGGGGAAGCTCTTTGTGAGCTCCTTGATGGGAGTAATGATGCAGGTGTCCCACTGAAAAGGTATCTTCAAGTTATGTGTTCTATTAAAATCAAGCTCATGAGCCTGGTTTAATTTCATGAATTTATACTGGAACAGTTTTATCAGGGATGATCTACCTTCAAAAAGGCCTTGCCTAGAACCTCCATATTCTTTAGGAGATGAAGATTATAATGTGCCTCCACTGCATATGTCTTGGGCTGGTACACGCATGCCTTATCATTCCTTTCTCTATCAACATCAAGCTGACCCAAGTAGACTTCATTTAACACATCCACATACTTTGGCTACTGCATATTTCCCGACCACCATGGGAGCATCAAAAGTTGCAAGTATGAAGAATTCTCGCATCAACAGAAATCTCACCAATCTACAAGTAAACCATGATATGTCTACTCAATTTGATGCTTGGGGTTTATCTGCAGAAAGCCCTATTGCTAGTACCTTGACAGAGGATGATTTTCTTGAAATGGTACTGGGACCTTATCTAAGCTTTATATTCCAATTTATTTTTATTTGTTTAATTTATATGTTTTTAACTTAAGCGGATACTTTCTTTGTGATCATATAAAATGTGATTCATCAGAGAAGCTAGATTTATCAGGTTAGTATTTCAACTTAGATCCCCTAACCCATATGTTCCCACTTCTCTTTCTGGACTAGGAAGAATTCAGCATAGTGAATCCTGCGACATTTTTCATGTGCTGTGCTGTTTATCCTTAATTAACCATGAACATGAGGATTAGTGCACATGAGGATATGAAGATTGCAGCATACTGAATCCTGCAACATTTTTCTTGTGCTCCACGTGCTGTTTATCCTTAATCAACTGCGGACATGAGGATTAACACACTTTATTCAAATTTTGGCTGCTGCATATCATTCTAGACAAAGTTCTGTGTTTTCTGCTGTTTTATCACCAAAAGGGAAAAAATAGGAACATCCCCTCTCTCTCTCTCTCTCTCTCTCTCTCTCGCTGAATAGTCCTGTTGGCGTATGTCTGAATCTTTCTTCTTGTTAATGTCTTACCCCTGATTTTTGTTGCAGACATATGAAGAATACTTGGAAGCCCATGGCAGAACCAGCAAACAATTATGTCACCCTGTCAGTATACTTTCTATCAATAACTCCCTGATCCTGGTTATTTGTGTATTTTTGTCTCTGCTATCTGTATCTGTCAATGCATTCACTGCATATTTTAATGTGGTTAGTTGCCTAAGCAGTCAATAAAATGTGTCAATAATCCAATAATAAGTTGCTTATGAATATGATCATGCTACCACCAGCCGATTGCACACCTGGCAAAATGTCTGGGGTCCTATTGATTGGATAGTTTGATTGATTGTATTAGAGTTCTGAAGCACTATCAGGAAGACAACCTACTCATTTCTGTATGAAAAGTAAATGTCTACTTATGACATTCTTTCATATTAGGAGGTCTGGCCTGCAATCTGTACCCTCTATTGCATGAAAGAATGTGTAAAAGTAGACTTTTACATCTGCATGTTCCTCTGATTGGACTTTAAATTTTTAAATTCCGAACTTATTCCAAAGACCAAGAAAGGGAAAATAAAATTGAATGTGTGGATGAACTAAGTTTTATCAGCCCCCCAGTTGGGAGTTGGGACTTTGCTTTGTTGTACACCCTAGCTTGGCCTTGCACTGTGGCATATATATATATATATATGTGTTGAACCTCATCTTATGTTGTTAATGTAGTACTGTGTCCTTGGCAGATGATGACACAATCTCGGACGATAAAAGAGCCAACAAGTAGAAAGCATGGTGATGATTCGTGAGTAATTCAGATTCAGTACTGAATATTTAAATTTGATTTTATGCATCTTTACTCAGCTTGATGACTTCTGCAGAAACTCAAGTTTGTTAACTGACCGGTGCCATTCTCGCAAGAGGTCACATAACTCATCCTGAGATTGTTTCCAGCCCCAGCGCAGAGAGATCTTGGTTTTTGCTTCAGTTCACTTTCATCTGGGAGCTCAAATTTGCCGCAAGGTGGTCATTGAGTGAAGTAAATTTATTCTTCTAATCCGATAGTTGAGATACAATTCAGACACAAAACTATTGTCATGTTGTACACATTTATGTACTCTATTGTATGAACTGATTGTAGTATTTTTACAAGGGGCAGTTGCGAACTTGTACAGAAATCAATTGGCAATGTCATGCCCCAACTCTTTTAACATTTTGCTCTTCTTTTTTTTCTCGGTAATCTTACAAAGAATAGATACTTCTGCTTCCTAGTAAGGTGGTCAATGATCTATTCAAAAGAAAATCTTAAAATTGCATGACAAAGTCTATATTGTCCATTTCAAACAAAGAAAAATAATAGTATTAAAATGTTTAATTAATTTTGGCTAAATTTTCAGAAGGAACAGAATTTGATGATTAAGAACAAGAAAAAGATTACATCATTAATCAAGCACGATGAGTCGCCACCAATTGGTCTTCACCTAAAAATGAAATACCCAAACGAAAGCAGTGGCATTTTTGAGGTCGCTGACCCCAGCAACTGCCATAGCTGCTGTATCCGCTCTGCTTACAGGTTTTGCTTTCTTTTCTTCTTCCTGCAAATCTTCTCATTCCCAAAAACTTCAGGCCTCCCTGTCCTCTCTTCATCACCAAATCGCTTAGGCCTTACAAGAACCTTCACCAGTCTTCCCACTGCTCTTCACATGGACTCATGCACATCTGATCACAACCAATCTCAGATTTGCTATCAAATTTCAAATTTTGAGCACTGCCCATTTCTTTTCACATCCAGTCTTGCTCTTCTTTATTACTATTATCTTTACTAAAGTTTGACTTTTTCTATCTTGAATTTGCAGGAAAATGGGTCCTTGCCTGACCTTCTTGTAAATTTATCTTCTTGATTATTTTAATTCAGTTTCAAGCGTATTCTAGTTGTAAATTAAGGTTTTCCTTTTTCCTTGAACATGAATTGGATAGTTATTGTTGATTAATCCTTAAATTTTGTTAACATGCTAAAATTTTGAGTCTTGGTATCAGACAGGGTATATGGTGGATATGAAGTGTGAAGGTTGTTTTAATGCCGTCAAGAGTAAGCTACAAACAGTTAATGGTAAGCAATAGCAACCATTTTGTGCATGATCAATCTTTTAAGGCTTTGAAGCGACGTTTTTAAATTTTCATTTGATATTTATTTTTGCTTTAATTACTGAATTATGGTATGTTTTGTTTTTATATGCAAAGGAGTCAAAAGTGCGGAAGTGGACTTGAGCAATCAAGTGGTGAGAATACTTGGTTCTTTGCCCGTGAAAAACATTGACTGACGCATTGGAGCAGACTGGTCGAAAAGCTAGATTAATAGGACAAGGAGTGCCAGAAGGTTTGTCAATCTAACTTATAATCGCTTTGGGACATTAACCTATACATTTGATGCTTGCCCTCATTTATGCATTCTGGTAACAGACAGAAAGGAAAGTCATATTTGTTCTTGGTATTTCACAATTTATGTAGCAGCCAATCCAACCTTTTACTATTTCATTCCAAAAGAAGGAAAGTTTTGGTCATTACTATGACTTAGCCGAGGACACTGAGATGTTCTAAGAAATATTGTGATTGAATAAAATTTATGCTCATATTAGCTTGTTGATGAAGTCCTTGAAATTTTAGAAATGTTTTCTTAATTGCTAATATTAGTGATGTGGTTTACTTAAATGGTACCATCTCCTAAATAAATTGACCAAAGGTTGCTTTGTCTGGTAATCAGTTCATTTAGAGCTTTCATTGAATAAATTATAAGGAAACAAGCAATATTCACTTCCTAGAACCTTAAAGCTTTAAAAGTGGTCTTTATGAAGTACATTTCTGTGCATGCCATTCATAGGATTGAGTAAATTCACCATCTCATGTCAGCAAATAAAACTACAATTTCTCAAATTATTAACCTTGTACGTCCTTTTGCAGACTTTTCAGTTTCTGCTGCTGTTGCTGAGTTCAAAGGTCCAAAATTTTTGGTGCAGTTCGATTGGCTCGAGTATGGAATTGACTAGGACTGAAGCCAGTTTTGGTGGTTTGTCACCTGGAAAACACGGTCTATTAATGAATTCGGTGATCTGACAAGAGGTGCAGCAAGTACCGGGAAAGTGTTTAATCCATCAAATGAAGGAACTGATAAAGAGGTCTTGTTCCATCTTTTGCCATCCCTGGATTTCATATTTTCCTTTTTTTAAATAAATCTTCAAGTCACCTCACATGCACTGCCTTTTCTGTCACTTTTCCTTTTTCTCTCTAGCTCTCCCTCTGTGTGTACGTGTATATGTCAGTGTAATTTCATTTAGCAACCACCAAGGTGCAAGTATGAGACTCAAAGTACCACTTACCTGTTAAAGATAGCACTTACTGGTCGATGGATCCGTCAATGCTATCTAAAGGGCACAATAAAAAAGAAGGGCATTGTGCCGCCTTAACATTATTTTCAAATGGTTTATTTCTGGAGCAAATTTGTGTTTTCATATATTTTTTTTAATTTCCTAATGAATGAAAATATGTTTAAACCCCCCCCCCCTTGTCCTGGCCGGCACCTTTATTGAGAAAGAGAATATTGTATGTATGTATATATATATATATATAAAACTTGTGGAAGATGATTCTATGCTGTAAAAGAGTTGTTGATATTCGTATACAAGTTAATCAATTTTGCCTCTAGAGTTATTGCATATGGACAGCTTGATTGGACCCATTTCAAGTTGTATCTTCCCTTGAATGAGTTTTCCATTATGTTTGGCATATTTTTCTTTTGTTTGAATAATTATATTTGTTTAATTATATGCCAGCATCTTGTTATCTATTCTTTCACACCAATCACGTTTGTTTATTTCATTCCTTAACCTTGTTTGTGCTTTACAGCCACTTGGCGACCTGCGAACTCTGGATGTGGATAAGAATGGTGAGGCCTTTTACACTGGTGTCAAACACCTGCTCAGAGTTGCTGATCTCATTGGGCGGTCAATAGGTGTATATAGGACTGGAGATAAATCAGATCCAAGTTTGACAGCTGCAGTAACCGCCCGGAGCGCTGGGTTTGGTGAAAACTACAAGAAGATATGTGCATGTGATGGCACCACCGTCTGGGAAGCAAGTGAAAAAGATTTTGTTACCAGTATGGTCTCAGTATTTTATCAAAGTATATTTACTTGTAGCTTCCCTTGTTTCCTTGGCATAAGGATTCTTGTTTAGGTTATCTCTTGTTGTCTTTATTTAATTAGTTCTAGGCATGATCTGCAAAACAAAGATGAACTTCAATCTAATAAAACAGGTGAGCTTTATGCTTCAATTACAATGGAAAAAGCTGCTCAAACCATATAGCTAGAGAATTTGGCATTGATGTTTTGGTTGTTGAGGAAATGAACCTGATTGTTAAAGCTCAAATGTTAATATTAGCTGCACCCAATCACTTAAATCTTCTTGCACTAACGCACAACTTTAGTAGTGACTCATAGAGGCTCCAGTAAATAGATATGAGTTTAATTTTTCATACAAAAGATTGTGGAAGATAAATGTAAACGGTTTTCAATATGTCTCAATGACTATGAACTAGAAATATTATTGGATAAATTCAATGTTAATACACAATCTATGCTGCATTGGACAGTTTTACGCATCTTTATACAGGCTAAATAATAACTTGATTTCTAGGACAATAGTTACCCATGATTCCATGATCTCAAAATGAATGATCAAACCAGAAAAAAGGAAGCCTGTAACTAGATGCTGGCAGGTTAAGATTTCTGTGGTAATAATCCTTCTTTCTTAGCCATTTCATAGATAGCAACTGCCATGAGTGTCTTTGCATCAGGTGTCATGCGCCAGAGTTTCTCAAAAGGAACGACGCGAACCTTGATCAGCTCACCACGTTCATGAAGACCTGTTTCTTTTCCTTGCAGCTGTGTAATAATGTTTTTATCAACATGCCCTCTGTACAGAAAAAGTCCAATTTCTTCATCACACCCTCCCTAACATGTAAAGACAAGAAATCTTAGTACTAAGCTGAATCAAGTCATGATACAAAATGTCCCAAAAAAGGACACAGCATCCTCAAGAAAGGACTACTGGAACCTTTGAGGCTCTGGAATTGTAACGCAAGGATTCTAAGCAAATAGTATAGATCATAAATTCACAAGATAATGAAAATTATATGTAGCTAAGAATCCTATTCCAAAGTAATGCTTCTAGGATTTTCAACATGGAATAATTTTCCAAGAAGAGCACTCATGGGTATTGCCGATACTTCTTGGTAGATGTCAACATACCGGAGAAGGAAAAACTTTGAATCCAGTAGATGGCTCAAGGAAGGCTGTGAGGTCAACCATCTCTTCTAGGTTCAAGTGAATACCGATCTCCTCCTCAACCTGTCAGTTTCAACTCATTAAGAGATCATTTGTATAACAAAAGAGGGGTAAAAAGAAGCTAATCCTAGGGAATTTTGAACAAAAAATATCCTGTCAAAAATATTATATTGCCTCAACTGAATGGCAGATGTTGAACATCAGCATATCCGGTACACTAGCATATAACCCTTGACCTCAATAATGGCAAATTTCATCACCTAAAGTGAATCATTTTATGAACTTTATGTTTGGTAAAATGACTAACATACAGATGCCCACAGAAAAAGTACATAAATAAACATTTGAATAATGTGTTTGTGTCTGCGCACATGCTGTGATGAGAGGAGAGAGAGCAGACCTCACGAACTGCAGTGCCAACAAAATCACCCTTGTCATCATCCAACATTCCCGCAGGCAATTCCAGAACAAGCCTCCCAGTAGGGACCCTAACCTTAGAGAAGAATGAAGACTCATTAGGTTTCAATGAAGTAGCAATATTTAAATGTCCACCTTCTGAGTTCAATCTCTGCTCAGTTGCATCATACTTGACAAACTGCTTAGAAAACTTTCAATTAAAACATCACCCCACCTGTTCAGTGAGAACAGCATATGTCGTGCCCTCTGACTCCAAAAGAATTAGTACGGCTACAGCGGGTCCTCGTGCAAATACTATACCTGGAACCTAAGCATGTTTTAGTTCATAAGATACTTCAAAATAGCATGAATAAACAGCGTGGAATGCTGAGATAGTTGCAATACATGCTCCATAAAACCTGAATTCAATAATTAATTACAACATCAAGAAGTTACATAAAGAACCATATTTTGTTGTGAATCTGTTTAGAAAGCTATTCATGAAGATGATCAAATACCTTCTTTCCCGTTCCTTTATCAATAATATCAGCTTCGAATTTAAGGAAGCCAATGCGCTTTCCAAACATATCAACTCCCTGTTATCAAAGCAAACAATCAACCTAAAGTTCTATAAACAAAGAAAAACAGAGTTTATTGGATATATCTAACATTTCTAATATTTCAGAGCCCAAATGCTTAGCAAGTTCAAATGTTGCATAAAACCCACCAGACATAGCCTCTTATAATCAATTTAAGTAACAATTCTTCCAGGATTCTCAATACAACAACGAGAAAAACAAGGAAAACAAAAAGTACCCTTTTTTTTTTCAAAAAGACCCAAATGATTAATGCAAGTTTTACAAAGGGTAGGTACCTGAATAAGGACATGAGTTAAAGTCATGTCTCCATTAGCCAAAATCCCACTTTCACTCTCCAGATTCTTTAACCATTGTCTAAATAAAGATGACTCAATAGCACTCCTGTAAATCCATATTTATGATTGATCAAACAATGGGTACTCAAAAATTTCAAAACATCAAAGAACTAAAATTAGAAAAGAAAAAAAAAGGCGATTCACCTGAACTCGGAATCGGACAGGCCAGGGGCAGCAACGATTTGGACGGGTTGACCGAGTTGAGTCGGCAAGGAGATGCAGTGAGTTAGGGAAGTTGATGACGTGGCCGACATGTCGGAGCAGAAGGGTTTTGTTCTTGTATGACGGTGAAGAAGTAGAGTGGGAGAGAAGGATCCGACAAGCCGCTTTGGGAAGGTGAGAGCAGATATGAGCAAGGGAGACTGGAGAAAATGAGTCATGTTTTTGCCCAATCTGTGTCCGATGTCTGCACACTTGCGAGGCCCATCTAGGCTTCTACACTAATACATGGTTGAAAAAAATTTCCTTTTTTTTTTTTTAATTAAAAGATTTAAAATATTATTAATATAAATAATGTAAATTTAATTTTCATTGAAAGTGGATTTAAAATGCTATTCGAACTCATAATAATTAATTAATAATTGAGCCAAATTGCGTATGAGTAAGGGTAACTTTTTAATATATTTATTTATGCATCAAAATTATAAAATACTATTATCATCTTATGGGTAAGAGTAACTTTTAATTTATTTATATTATATATCAAAATTATAAAATATTTATTTTTTTTTTAATATTGAAAGTTCAAGCCCACGAATTGACCAGCACTTGTGCACACTTTGGAACGATGAAGTGATGGAGTTCAACATCTACTTCAGCTTTTCCAGGGAGTGAACTGTGAATACTATAGCTCTAAAGCTCTAGCAAATCTCTGGCCAAAAGAAAAAAAGCAATAGCAAATCAATCGCAGGTCAAGCTAAGCTTCGTTTTCACGTGACAAGGAGCACGATTTTACTAAGGAACTCATTGACAGATGAATTCTGTACATATTCACCTCATATGCCAATGTTCATCTTATATAGGCAGCCAAAAATAAAAATGAATATGGTGGGAATGGTAAAGGGAGAAGACAAACAGACGAACAGAACAATCAAATCTCTCTCAGGTTATTTTCTTTCATTAAATCCCATATTATGATATCAAAGAGAAGTACAAGGATATCAGCAACACTCAAATTAAGATCATAGCAATATAGAAGTAGAGTTTTGACCATTTGACTGCAAATGTCCACATAAGGAGAACCAAGTCACCAATGGTCCTCGGCAAATGCATTACAAACTACGAACGTTTTATTTCGATTTAAACAGTGTTGTCACACTAGAACAGGGATAGCACGCAAGGGTTCAGCCATGTGAAGTGTGAGGCCAAACTTCTCTTCCATGTTCATATCCTTTGGCGAGATTCCACCTTCAAGTTTCCAATCAAAGGAGTGAATAAGGGAACCTAACATCAAATGCAACATTCTATTTGCCAAAGGCAGTCCTGGGCATATTCGTCGTCCTGCACCGAATGGAATGAACCCAAAATCCCTGCCTTTGACATCAATTTCTGATCCTAAGAACCTCTCTGGCATAAAAGCATTTGGGTTCTCCCAAAAGCTTGGATCTCTACCCATAGCCCATGCATTAACCAACACCTGTGCACCCTCCGGGACTGTGAAACCACAAATTTCTGCGTCTGCTCCAGCTCTGCGAGGGAGTAACAGAGGTACAGTCGGGTGCATTCGGAAGGTTTCTTTCATAATTGCTTGCAAGTATGGTAAACGATTTATGTTCGATTCCTCAACTGGATTTCCTTTGCCAATAACTTCCTCTATTTCTTTCTTAGCTTTAAGTAAAACCTGTGGATTATGAAGTAATTCTGCCATTGCCCACTCTAATGTGTTTGATGTTGTATCGGTTCCAGCAACAAATAAAACCTGTCATGTAACATGGTTAAATTAATATTTGTTGTTTCAATTAATGGTACCAAGAGATCTAACAAAGAGAAAATTAGAGGAAGAGAAAAGATTACCAAAAGCAAATGTGTAACATGAGTTTTATTAAGCTTCTCGATATTGCCTTCAATAATGTCAACTAGAGTATCCAAAACATCTTTTGATGCAGTTGAACCCTGTGCTTTTCTTGATTGCAATCGCTCATCAAAGATTTTGCCAAAAAGATCAAGCAACTTGTCAAAAAGGATAGTCATCCTGCGCCTTACACCTTGCGGGTCAATCTTTCTAAGCACAGGGAAATAATCCGCCAAATTAGGCTTCCCTGCGACTTCCATGATATCCCACACCGTTTTCCTGAATTCTTGAGCAATAGGTGAATTTGGATCAACCAAATCCATAGAAAATATAGTGTTTGACAGCAAATTAATTGTAGTATTGAAAGCTGCTTGGCCTATGTTAATTGCTTCACCTGTCTGGCAACTTTTCTGAACATTGGCGATGAGTTCTTGAATTTTCTTGCGACGCAGGAACTGATTGGAATCGAGTTTCTGACTGGTGAAAAGATGCGTATTACATACTTTGCGAAGAGTTCTCCATAGTGGTGAGACGGGTATCCAAGGCAACCCAACTTCATAGTGTTGGCAGGCTCGGGCAGCATCGATAACAGTTCGGTTAGAGAATGTGAGGTCATGCTTTTGCAGGACTTCTTTTGCCATTTTTTCTGAGGAAACAACTACCGTGATTAAGCTGCCTAGTTTCAGACTCATAACAGGACCATGAGTATTTGCGAGCTTAGCCAGAGACTTGTGGGGTTTGTCCCCAAGATCGAACAGATTTCCGAAGATTGGAAACCGCCGCGGTCCAGGTGGGAGCTTGTCCGGACATGCTTTCCTGCCCCTTCTAATTGCATGGAAAGCTTGAACCAGGAACCAGGTCAACAGAAGACAAAACAAGCAACTTGTCAAGAAGTCCATCTCTCTCTCTCACTCTCTCTCTCCCTTCCTCTTCCCAGCAAGGAATCAAAGTAAGATCTCTAATAAAATATCAGAAACCATAGGAATATGTCGTACAGTTTGCGCACCAAGATGTCAGGTATCAAAGACATATTGTTGTGTTTGATAACCGTTTTTGTAACAAAACAAGGAAAATGTTGGGGCCAGCCAACTCAATTGCCACGTTGAACACAAAATTTTAATGAAATCACGTCAATCTATTTTTTTCATTCAAAATGGGATACTTTTATAAATTACTTAATTTCAGTTAAAAAAATTAAAATTTAACTTCTGAAAAGATGAGACAAGATTAACATGTAATTAATTATAAATTATAAAAATAAACCAATGTGATTCCATAAAATTTCAAATGTTTCTGTACAGTTATTTTTTGAGTGCCCCTAACATTCCTCCGAAAATAATAATAAACAATATGAGACCTAAAAAAGTAGCCATTAGTGTCCTGAAAAAACAATTTTATTTTTATTTTAAAAATAATAACGAAAATAATGTCACCATTTCAAGAATGAAACATCAATGATTTAAAAATAGTGATCTCTCATCTCAACCAGGACTTTCTCTAAGTTTCCAATCCTTGCATTTGGTAAGTAAACTGAAGAAATAGTTGCCTTATAGCATTTTACCTCCGTATATTTTTGTCTATAATATTTTTACCTGCACAACAAGGGTCCCACTTAGGGCACAAAATAAAATTATAAATTTGTTAATAATAATTTTGAATTTTCAGATTAAAGATAAAATCAAACACTTTGTTAAAGTGAAGTTTGCATTTATTAATAATTACGGTAGGAGATACATTCAACTCATTAGAGAAAAAAGTCATCAAATAATTATTGAAAAAAAGAAAAGCGTGTAGACATGGGAATATATCTTATCAATCATTATGATTTTTAAATTCATTCTCAAATTTTTTATTTCTAAATTTTTATCCAAGTGAAACTATCAAGACCCAAAAAGAATTTAATAATATTTTAATAATATTTTTTAATTTTAGCAAATAAAGAATACGGTCAAAATATCAATAGTGATAGACTTGGCTCTTAAAATAAGAATAAAATTACATCTATTTGTTTTTTTAAAGCGTGAACTAGTCATTAGTAACCTTTCTTCTTTCTCTTTTGTTCTTCTTTGAGTTAATGTTTGCGAGAGTTTTTTTTTTTTTTTTTAAGTATAAGGCATCTTAATAAGAGCACTAGGAAGAAACTTCTTTCAATGACTCCAAAAATCGATGTGAATTCATTAATTTTCTTACAAAGCAACGATGTTTCATTTTATATGGTTAAATTGTCTCAAAAAATAAAAATATTCACAACTATCCCTTTGTTTTGGTTTCATTTGGTTAATGGAATCCTTGCACATTGAACTCAATTTTTGAAAAGGTAAAACCTTTCAAAATACTTTTTGATAATGATTTTTACGTTTGTTTTATAGGAGATATTGATCAAGGCATTCCCAAATTTAGATATGTACCCAACATCTCTTTCCGTTTATTTGATGGTCAATGATTTTTTTAACATATAATAAGTTTGTATGTAGTATCAAAATGAAAAGCTTCCTTTATTTGCTATATCATTTTGCTTCATTTTAATGTGCAATAGCAATAATCACTTAGTGTTTTGTATGTTTGCAAGTAGTTCTTGTTGTTAACAATAAAGCAAAAAATTAAAAATAAAAAAGATTCTAACTCTGACTCTGACTCTTTATTCAATTATCTTTGCTTAAGAACCTTCCTTATAAAATCTTTTGCAGTCACCTTAGTTTGTATTTTTAAGTTTAAATTGTGCAGAGATAAAAGATAAAGTTGAAAGGTATGGGACATGAGAAAATCATTTTGAATATTAAAAGCAGAATGATTGAACTTAAAAAAAAAGGGTAAATAAACATTTTTGGATTATGATAGTAGGTACTTGCAACATTTACAACGAGATTTTGATCGGTTGCAATGAAATTCTAATTTATAGTACAATCTTTTAAAAAACAATGGTAGAAAAGTATGTTGAGATTTTTGGTAGATTTAAGGTTGAGATTAGATAGGATTTATATGTTTTATGTTTGGGTTGAAAGGTTTTATTTTCTTTTTTGGCTTAATTTGTTTCTAATAGATTATGTTTTTCTAGATCTTTGCTCTTATATTGTAAGTCTTGATCTAGCGACTCTTTTATGAATAAAAATCATATTTTAGGTAAAAAAAAACGAATTGAATGTATCTACGGTTTAGAAGAAATTAAGAAAGTAATATTTGTCAAGTTTGAATCACAAGATGTCAAGGATTCAAATACATATTGTGTAACTCTTTAACTTTTTAGTTATAAATTTTAAATTTTAATTTTAATGTGCCACTCATGAAGTTTTGCAATTAAGTGTATCATGATCTTTTGTGGTTCAATACCCAATCAGCTCATTTTTTAATTTTTGAAATTCGGGATCCAAATCTAAGATCTAAATACTTAGAGAAAATTCTTCGGTAATCATGTCATCGGTATTTGTTAAATTCGCATCGATCAGACGAATTGAAATATTTTTTTTTATTTTTAATTAATATTTAGAATTGTTACTCATATATATTATTTATAATAATCTATTGTTCATATTTATATTTAAAATAATTATTTATATGTAAAAAAAATTTTATATTTGGATCGGATTGGCTATACTTCCATGATGTCTTCAACTTGTTCATGTCTGAAAAATCAAAAAAATTCGAATAAATACGAATTCGAATTTTAAAAATTTTCGGATCGAGTTGGTGAACTTGCCCCGATTGACCCTATTACTAATATTAATAACCACGTTTAACACTCAAAATTTTAATGAAATCACGTTAATCTTTTTTTTTTTTTCATTCAAAATGGGATACTTACTTTTATAAATGACCTAATTTCAGTTAAAAAAAATAAAATTTAACTTCTGAAAAGATGAGACAATATTAACATGTAATTAATTATAAATTATAAAAATAAACTAATGTGATTCCATAAAATTTCAAATGTTGTTAGACCGTTATTTTTTGAGCATCCCCAACATTCCTCCCAAAATAATAATAAACAATATGGGACTTAAAAAAGTAGCCAGTAATGTCCTGAAAAAACAGCTGCCTTATAGTATCTTACCTCGTATATTTTTACCTACAATAGTTTTTCATGAGCGACATGGGTCCCACTTAGGACCAAAAAAATTTATAGATTTATTAATAATAATTTTGAATTTTCAAATGAAAGATAACATCAAACACTTTCTTCTAAAGGCTGCATTCCTTAGTCATTATTGTGGGAGGTACAAGCAGAGAAAAATGCTATCAGATAATTAATGAAAAAAAGAAAAGTATGCAGGTAGCCTGTAGCCGCGTGAATATGTCTTGTCAATTATTATGATTTTTAAATTCATTCTCGAATTTTTTATTTTTAAGATTTTATTAAAGTGAAACTGTCCATTTTTTAAAAGATTAAACTTTTTAAAATATTTTTTGGTAATGATTTCTTCATTTGTTTTGCAAGAGATACTGACTGAGCCATGCCCAATTCCAGATATATATCCAAAACCTCTTTTTGTTTATTTGATAATCAATGATTTTTTTAATATATAGCGAATTTGTATGTAGTATCAAAATTAAGGGCTTGCCCTATTTACTATATCATTTTCTTTCATTTTAATGTGCAATAATAAATTTTTTAGGATTATGATGGTAGGTACTTACAACATTTACGATGAGATTTTGACTAGTCATAATGAGATTCTAATTTATAAGACAAGTTTTTTAAAAAACAATGAGGGAAATTATATTGAGATTTTTTTATAGATTTAGGGTTGAAATTAGAAAGGTTAGTTTAAGAGAAGTAAAATTTTTAGCAGATTTTTTGACTAGTTTAGGTGTTAACAAGATTTTATATGTTTTATGTTGGGTTGAAAGATTTTATTTCTTTTTTCGGTTGAATTTGTTTTTAATAGATTATGTTTTTTTAGAGTTTTGCTCTTATATTGCAAGTCTTGATTCAGTGAGTTTTTTATGAATAAAAATTTTATTTTAGGTAAATTTTTTTTTTTTTGACTTTGATAATATCTAGGCTACGAAGAATTTGAATATAAATAATTTAACTTATTTTACTTAACAAGATATTATATAAATTTTTTAATTGAGATTTATATCTTTTGTTTTTAGTTATTTACCAAAATTATTAGTGTTTCCTTAAACTATTTTATAAATATATTATTTAATCCCAAGATAACTCTTTTCTTTTTCTGCCTTACTATTATGTGCTTTTTTTTTTTTTGTTCACCTCATGGAAAAGAATCTTACTTGTGGAGAGATTTTCTTTCTTTTGTCTATGCATGCAATTTATTTCAGTCTGCTATTCTTTTTTCATTTTAGAGAAAATAAACAAAGTCAAGTGAGCAGATGAATAAAGCCCTTGCCAAATTTATAATCTTATCCACAGTTTTGCTCTGAAAATTTCTATGCTCTATAATATTCATTTCCTGGCAGATCCTATCTTTTCGCTTTTAAAATAAAGGGTGAGAACCTAAGACGTTAAAAAATTTTTTTATTAATAAATAATTAATTTAATCTATTAAAATTATTTTTTTTTTGATAAAAAAATTTTAAATTCAAATTTTATTAGTGATTATTTATTAAGATTATTTTAAATATACTATTTATAATTATTTATCTTAAATTGTCAGATATTATATATTTTATTTAATTTAAAAAATTGATCAATCTGATTATTTCGGATTTAAAAAAAAAAAAAACTTGAAATTTTTTTTTTATTATTAAAATCTCCATGCCCAATTTTAAAGAGTAGTCAACCTCGCTGGCTAAACAACATACATTTTCTTTGATTTTCATGATTGAACGTGGATCTTCGTGGGCCTAGGCCATTTTTTTATTGAACTAAAAGATTAAAAAAAAAATTGACCTTCGGCCAATAATTGGTTCTTGACCTGATTGTAGTTGCATCAGTTTTCTG